AAATTATAGTTCTCATCCCTTACATATGAAACATTTCATTGAAAACAAATAGACACCTGCATTTCCTCATGAAAACTGCACCCCAACTGACTTTTCATGATTCTCATTAGAGTGATTCTGTAAAGCGCATGCCTTTCTATCTAGATATCGTTCTTCAACTGATACAAGACCAACAATACTTCCTCCATTACAACATCTGGTGATCCTCTCACAGAGAATTCAAGAACAACCCCATCAATTTCAATCATGCTAGAGCCTGGGACTTCCTTTTTTATCCCTCTTTCTTTCATTAAGGATTTGATTCTCTTTACGTCATCAAATCTATTAGCTTTGGCATATATATCACACAAGTTAACATAAAAAGCATGGTTCAGAGGTTCCAAACCAATTAAATATTGCGCCAGCCTTTCTCCTAACTCGACCTTTCCATGTATTTGACAGCCTCCAAGTAATGCACCCCAAACAAATGCATCTGGCTTCATTGGCATGCTTCTTATAAACCGTTCTGCCTCTTCAATCAGCCCGGCACGACTAAGAATATCAACCATGCATGCATAGTGATAGAGCTGCGGTTCAATTAAGTAAACACGCTTCATCACATCAAAACACCAGTGACCTTTCTCTAGTAAACCAGAATGAGCACAAGCTGACAATAGCCCGACAAATGTCACATGGTTTGGCTTCACCCCAGTTGTTTCCATCTGTTTAAAAATATCAAAAGCCTCATTTCCAAACCCATGGAGAGCCAACACTGAAATCATAGCTGTCCATGCCAAAGTATCCTTGTTGGGCATTTCCCGAAAGACCTCATACGCTTTGTCCACACATCCACACTTACCGTACATGTCAACCAGAGCTGTCCCAATAACCACATCACTCTCCAGGCCACTTCTCCTCAGGTACGCATGCACCCATATCCCATGATCAACTGCACCAAGATAAGCACAAGCTGCAAGGACACTGGCAATTGTGATCTTATCCGGTTTAACCATATCACCACTAGTGATCTGCATTTCATGGAAAAGTTCCAAGGCCTCCTTTGGCTGACCACCTTGAACAAACCCAGTAATCATGGAATTCCAAGTAATAATGTTTCTTTTGTTCATCTTCCCAAACAGATTCAATGCCTCATCAAGATTCCCACTTCTCAAATACCCCTTTATCATCGAGTTCCAAGAAACAACATCCCTTTCCAACATTTCATCAAACAATGTACGTGCACTATTCAGAAACCCACATGCAGAGTACATACCAATCAACGAATTTTGAATAAAAACATCATTGTCGAGCCCATACTTAACGACTTGTGCATGGAAACTCCAGCCTGTGCCGCCATCAAGCCTACTCGTGCATTCTTTTACAAGGAACGGAAAAGTGAGACAATTAGGGGAAATGCCATCGCAGAGCATTTGCTTATACAGCAATAAGGACCCAAACGAAGAAAGAGTTTCATCCTCACTACTGATTTTTGTACACGCATATGCTCTGATCATGACGTTATAGACGTAGAGATTCGGATCCTTTATGGCCCGAAAGACACGGGCAGCGTATCTGTGAGAACCCGAATCAGAATCAGAAATGGCGGAGAAGAATAGGAGACGGGTAATGAGGAAAGCTTGGTCATCTGTGGATAAAAATGGAGACTTTATGATTTGGGTATGAATTTTCTTAAGCTCTCTAATGTTCTTGAACTCCTCGAGCAAGTGTAGTAGTGTGCTCCTAAGACTTGGCATTTGGATTTTCAACCATTCATTCTCTGGAGATTTATATATCTTTTTGAAGGAAGCCCGAGTCTTAATATTTCACCTTTCTACTCTTCTTTATATTACCTTCAGCTTATCTTTCTTAATTGAATCAGAACGACCACACGCTAATACGAATAAAATCATATGCTATTAGTCATCAGACAATGTTGTTTATATCAGCTTAGCCTTGCAATTGTGTTTGAATTATAATTACCAGTGGAACAGCAGGGTACAGCCTGGTTGTCTCATTCAAACCCAGGTACGACCGGAAGTAAATGACACTCGGTCTTCCGAATTTTCAAGGGCCGATGCGATCATGCGATCCTATCTCTGGCTGAGCTGTTACTAGGGTGCGTGCTGCATACTTCCAGTAAACTGTAAAAGTGAGTTGGCTATCTCAAGTACCTTCTAATTTTCAACCGTATCACATTTGATTTCAATGAGATGAAAGAAAGAAATATATCATTACAACATAAGGGAAGATAATTAATTTTATTGGAGATCGAGCAATTATTCATAATATAGTGATAAGGTTGGTCCAATGCAATGCAAAACAATAATGCTTACAACCGAACGCATTTGTGTCATCAAATACGTAATGAACGAACTATAGGCTGCTTCTTTTGTTATGATAATTAAGAAGTAATACAATAAATATATAGAACAAGTACTGGAAGTTTAAGGCATACATATATCTAATTAAGGTCTTGCATTGCATGCGCAAATCTTGGAGACGCTTGCACATAAAGGCCTCCCTCAATATGGTGAGTGATCTTGGTCTTGTAGTTGGCCACTTTGTTCTCATCCCTCAGCTTGAATATGTAGCTGCCAACAAGTACAGCAGAAAACATCATCGTCTCTCTATGAGCAAAGCCCTTCCCTAGACAAATCCTTGGACCGGCCTGTGTAAATCATAATTTAAATTTCTTCAGAATTAAAATAATTTCTCTCCAGCAAACAAGAAAACATGTGTAATATGTGTCAGTGATGATATCTCAACATTCTTTCCTTACACTGAAGGCTGTGAATTTGAAAGAGCTTTCTTGCTTGAAAACCCCATTTTCGTCGAGCCATCTCTCTGGCCGAAATTCTTCTGCATCATCACCCCATAGAAATTTCATCCTCCCCATGCCATAAGCGTGGTATCCTACCATATCCCCTTTTTTAACACTAAATCCATCTGGCCAAGTATCGTCACATGAACAAATCTTCGCATTCTATGACACCATGACACAAACTTGATACTTTGTTCATTGATAAGTAAAAAAATAAAAGATAGATCCAAATTCAGGCATTAGATTTCAGATGCTAAAAGATAAAATTACCAATGGAACTGCAGGGTAGAGCCTGTTTGTCTCAGTCAAAGCTGCAACCAGATATTGCATTTTGTCAAGGGCTTCTTCAGTAAGGTTGTCGGCAAGCTCATCAATGCTTGAATTATCCTTCACATTTGTTGCTTCTCTAAGTTCCTGTGCAATCTTTTCCTGTATATGAGGATGCTTGCAGATCATATAAATAAACCATGAAAGAGTGCTAGCCGTTGTGTCTTTTCCGGCAACAACCAGACTGAAGATCATGTCTCTCAAGTACTTTGGATCGGTCTCCCTCGATTCCAAAAGCCTCGAAACAATGTCTCTTCTCTTCAACTGCCATTCATTCAGTTGCATTAATAATAATAATAATAATAATAATAATAATAATAATGATAATAATAATAATAATAATTTAATTCAATTAATCTAGAACAAAACAGATATGGACCGGAAGCCAGAAGATTGGATCATCTCCTGAATTAGAAACTGTTTCAGTCTTGCTTTTGATTAAGTTATAAACAAACTCATCTACCACTTTTAAATTCTTCCTTAGCATGGCTTCTGATCCAATGTCTAACAACTTTTTAATCTTCCAGGAGAAATCAACGCAACGATACAAGGTCATCTCATTTACTACATCAAAAGCATTGGAAAACCGGGTAGCTTCTTCATTTGTCCCATACATGGTGTCTACTTCGATACCAAGGAGAACCTTGACGATTGAATCTAAGGCTGCTTTCATAAACAAATCCTTCCCAAAAACAAACAAAACGTCAAGATTAAAATATCTACAGAAGAAATCAAATAACAATGCAATGCAAGCTTACTTGGATGTCTATTGCTTGGTCGGAGGTTGCAGCTTCAGAAATTATCCGAGCAAGTTTTACACCATTGCTTTTGAAAACAGCACCGCTGAAGTCTCTCACTTCTTTGGTTGATAATTCATTGCTTGCTACCTTCCTTAGATGTACCCATTTTTCGCCATCCACGGCGAAGATCCCACTACCCAAACCATCTGACAAAATGTTGTACAGGTACAACCCCTGCAGCAGCAGGTCAGGATTTGGAGCTAATCATGTTTGAAATCTTTGGCATGTTAATTTGCTTCTATAGTTTTAGTATATAAAATATGTTAGATGAATGAAAGTAAGGAAAGACAAGATCTGTAATTGCATTGATATAGTAGTTACTTAAGAACAATTGAACACATACCCTGCCATAGTTTGCAAAGTTTGTTTTGAGGATATATTCCACATTTGCAGGATCTGTGGTGAAAACAAAATTTGTGAACAAGTTAAGCACCCTATAAGTTTTGTGTTTGCACGCTAACTCAGTCATGTAATCGTGTAGCCTAGAGAAGTTGATGAGGGCGTTTAAGAAGGTTGCGACAACAGGATGGTATCTCTTTTTGTTCTTCTCAGTACCCAAATGGTCTCTGATCATAAGTAGAGCTAAAATTACTGCTAAAATTACTGCTAAACTTATTGCAATGGGAGGTAAGGAAATAGGAAGAAAATCCATGATACTCATCCGATGATGAACGAAAGAAACACTTGTTACATATATATAATGTTACAGCACCACTTTATCTCCCAGTGGACTGACATCAAATTCATAATCCAAGGCCTCGTTTGGGCACCCACAAGGTTATAATGGAATCCCAAAAAATAATGTTTTCTTTATGACGACTTACTTACAGCCAATTTATGCTCTGACCACGTGGTTGCAGAAGGGGAAGTGATAACAGCTGTTAGCATAACTTATGAAAGTTCTTTAGAAGGTTTTACAGAAGAGGAAAGTTGAGATACAATGTATTTCATATATTCAGAATGGCCCAGCGTGCCTTTACCATTCCTGAGCTATTGCTTTTATACAGAAAAGGAAAACCCTAGAGAGAGCTAGGGCACAAAAAAGGTATAAAGGTATATTCTATAACTCTATCTCATCTGTACACGTTAGCACAAGAGAGATGACCATTGGTCCTTTGCATGACTGTCCTTTGGCTTTGTCTTGGAGTGAGTTTGGGTGTGCTGAGAGGACTGTAAGTTTTGTGTTTGCATGCAAGCTCGGTCATGTAATCGTGTAGCCTAGAGAAGTTGATCAGGACGTTTAAGAAGGTTGTCACAACAGGATAGTATCTCTTTTTGTCCTCAGTGCTCAATCTTCTAGCATGGGGTATGATCACAAGTACAGCTAAAATTACTGATAAGCTTATTGCTATGGGAGGTAAAGGAGTAGAAAGAAAGTCCATGACAGAACTCATGGCTGAGGATGATGACGAAAAGAAACCCTTTATCATCATCGTATATATATATATATATATATATATATATATATATATATATATATATATATATGCACACACAATGACACTGAGGTTGAGTATCCTTATTTTTCTTAAAATAAAGATATCATATTTCTGAGATGCAGACACCGTTGAGTTTTTAGATTCTCTTTCAAGGATTATCCACATTTAATGTTTCCGTTTTACCTCACCAACTGTGTATTTTTGCACATTTTATATGACCAAACAACTTAATGTTTTTTGTTAAGGGTAACCTAAAATATAGAAGGGTCCAATTGTCGAAATACATTATATGGTAGCCCTAAATAGGATGTATGCACTTATGTTACATTATTTGTCTTAAAACAATCAATTTGAAGTGATTTGATTCACTGAGCTCAAGGCCTAGAATTGGGCTATTATTATAAAATGATGATGATATGGAGCTATGAGTGTGGGATCCATATGGAGATGAGATGGAACGTAGGTAGGATGCAGATATAGAGGCGGCAACGGCAGTGGGTACGTAGGTGGAGAAGGGAGGTCCTATTTTGATACCATTACCAATTAATGGGTTACCTTTAACAGAGGCAGCATTAGACATTGAAAATTTCCAGGAAAATACGAGGGGAAGAATATAAGAAATAAATACGCTGACTTGTTCTATTAACCCTCCCTTTTACAAAAAAAAATTGTATACTATGAATGAAAGCTTGTAATAGGACCCCTACACTTAAGGGGTGTACATCAGTATTCAATAAGGATTTTTAGAAATTTTATAAAATTCAGGTAATATTCAAAAAGAAGATGCCGTCTATAGTATTCAATTAGTACACTACTAAGCCAAAACCTTTAGGGAGAAATAAATGAAGAAGACACAATCTATGTTTGCAACCAAACCAGGAATGCAGCCAACACTAACAAGAATTAATCATACGATGTTATTACTGAAAAGGTAGGAAGTAGATGAACTGTACTGTACCTTCGAGAAAAAGGAAGCCTTAAGAAAAGATTGGACATTGTGTTGACAACATCAGGCATAACAAACTGATAACGTATCAGTTGCATGATTGCAAACCACAGGTTCTTTGTAATGCCCTCTGCAGAATGTCGAGCAACCGCATGCCCAACCTATCACCACCCAGAAAGAAAACTTTATCATCTTATCTTCACACAATTGTTCAACTAATTAACCAATCAAATCATATAACAGCGCTAAAGAAGTAAACAAAACCAAACAACGAAATCTTCGTACATCATGACCAATGATCGTAGCTATCTCAGCATCACTTCTAAAATGTTTCAGCAACTCCGTGAAGACGACAATCTTCCTGCCAGGCAAGCAAAATGCATTGAAGCCCATCTTCAACATGGTGCTTAAAATTTTATCATACTCAGGAAATAAACAGAGATTAGAATTTGGACGCGAGATTTCATATTTCTTTACACAACTTTCTAAAGGAAGCCCATGTTTTAAATCTTAAGCATCGTCGAAAGCAGCAAGCAAGCACAGAAAACAAAAATTAAAATTTAAAGTAAAATAGAAGAGAACCCCATATTTCACATTTGTTTGTATATCTTCAGCATAAGTTTCAGTTGAAAAGAATCCTCCAACCGCAAACAATTGCAAATAAATTTGGCAACAATTAATTTCTTCGAAATAAAAACATGTCGTAATAGGAGGCTTACAGTTCAGATGTTCAGGCACGACAATACGAACTCGGTCATGCCCATCGAAGCCGTTTATCTGAAAACGTGAACAACTTCACTCTCACCATTTTACTCTGCCTCAGCTTCAGTGATTGAGAATGGTTATTGATTTCATCTTCGCCGCTTTGGCGGCACTGCAGCCACGGTTGGGCCCAAGGCAACCCAACCCAAAACAATGACATGGGCTTCCTTATTCAATACATGTGGAGGCATCGTGGATCGTGAGATTGGGCCCAAGGGAAGCGGAGAGTAAAGTCATTCTATAGTGAGGCCTTATACATGATCCTTAGATGAGGTCCTATTTCTTAATGGTTGGATTAGACTAATTAATTTGATTCAACGGTTAATAAATAAGACCTCACCTAAGGGCCCTATATAAAACCCTCACTATAGAATTCTTGGCAAAGGGTGATCTTCCAATAGCAAACTTTGATTTCACAGTGCATCAAATCCTTCTATTTCAGCATGTTTATCGGAAAGCAAACTTTGTTTTGACCAAAAAAATATAAAATCGGAAAGCAAACTTTGTAGGATATGCTTTGGCAATGATAGGCCATGATCAAACGCAACCTTCCAATTGGTCCTCTAATTTTCCCTTTTATGTTGTTTGTAAAGCTTTATATGATCTGCGGATTTTAGGAATCCGACGCAAATTCTTATTGTAATTTCTTTGATTTAAAAAAAATCAATTATATCAAAGAAAAAAAATATATCAACAAATTTTGAAAACTCATTCATTTGGCCAACCATCTTTGATGCTCTGATCATGACCTTACATAGTGGTATGCCGACAAAATTATAAGAGCTGGTTATTAGCATACTGATCATCGTTATTACAAAGACAAAATTATGTACAAATCCAAGCAATGAGATGCAAGAATATATATATATATATATAATATATATATATATATATGAGGAATAAATAAGCTGATTTATTTTATCAACCATCCATATTATAATCGTGTTTACTAGCTATTAATTAATAAGCAAATTAAGTACCATACTACACTTGCGTTGAGTTTAATAGTTTGGTGGAATTAACCGAATCCTACACCTAGGTCAATGTGATCATCATCTAATAATAGCCTCCTAATCCTGGGCCTCCTTTGGCCAACCACCCTGAACAAACCCAGTTATTATGGAATTCCAAATAATAATGTTTTTCCTATTCATCTTACCAAACAGATTCAATGCCTCGACAACAAGACTTCACATACTCAAGAAATACTACTTTTTAAAAGAAAACACAATAATTCACATTTCTTTGTATCTCTTTAGCATAAATTTCTATGCATATTTTAAGGCTGCCGAAATTTCCGATTTACACTTGAAAGTCAAAACCAAAGACAAAACTCAGTTGGAAAGGATCTTGCAGCCGGAAACATGCAGATACAGGGATCCTCTCCAAAAGTTAAAAATAAAAAATGGAACTGTGGCGGGCAGGAGTTAGGAGTTACATGGTGATCAAATTCAGGGACCGTCCTAAAGAAAACCTTCAACCCCACGTCCAGCTCTTACATCCCGGTATATGGCAAGTGCTTCTTCCATTATCTTAGCTTGAGCAAGCAACTGAGCTCTCTTTTTCCCGGATGGATGGGTTGAAAGATAATCTCTCAGTGCAGATTCACCGGAAATTTTGCCCAACTTCTCGTACACTGTTGGAGCCACTCTAGGATCATATCCCGCAGAAGCAACCAACAGCAGCCCAATGTGATCCGCTTCAATTTCCATCCTAATCAAGAGAAAGAGCATGAGCACTAGAACATGGAAAACGATATGTTTGTGCTGCTCACAATTGTGTCAAGCTATCAGCTGTTACGCAAACACAATGACGTTATAATGATGAGAAAAACAAAATATAAAGAGCAAATTTATATAAACATCCAATCGTGAATCCAAACAACTCTGATCTGGTAGTAAAAAGCTATTCGGTAAGTCCAGAAACACTAATCCTACAACATTCAAAACGACATACACATTAGATTATGAAAATGTTACCACTGCAGTAAGTAAAAATACCATTTTTATTCTTCTTTTGCTCAATATTACAGTGGACACAATTACAGACCAACAAAACATCATCTGTCCACAAGATTTAGTTATATATATTTTCCAAAATTAAATCCCAGATAAACAAACCATTATATAGTGTGAAATATTGTAGGAGCAATGAGGTTCATTTTACCCAAAAAACACTGAAAATCCTTTTGAAAGCCAAACAAAGTTCCTAATGGTCAAAACAAGAGATGAAATTACATTTAGCAAGTGAAAACACTGAAACGAATAATGATGTTTAAAATAAATATTAAAAAAAACAAGAGTTTTACGGGCAAAACATAAAAGAGTACAAGAACGAACAAGAATTCACCACTAATGATATAACGATGAATCTAATGGATCTTTCAGTAAGAATCAACAAGAAAAATCCCAACAGAATCACATTTCACAGTGCATCTAATGGATCGTTCAGTAAGGTAATATTGGAGGTCAACCAGAACAGTGGAAGAAGTCTCTCTCATCTTTCCCGGGGAAGCATTAGTGACCGGGAGTGTCAAGGGTCTTTCTAACAATACAATTCCCTTTTTTCCATTTGCTGGAAACCCATGGGTTTTGTCTTGTTTATTTGGTTATATCTAGCAAGTGACAGAATATTTAAATAACCAGTAAACACATATCCATATAGCAAACATTTCATGCTGAGCACATTTCCAGACTAGCATTAATCCATTGTTTGGAACAATGAAGCTCCAACTTGAAATAGTAAAAGCTTTTTTCACATTAAGTCAAACTGTCAAAATATTTTCCAAGGCTCTTACACCATTTTTGGGAGACTTGACATGTTCAAACATCTTAATAGAACCAGGTCAGAACCTTTAGTGAACAAATATGACCCATACCATTATCTAACCCATAAACAACTCCATTCCTAGTACACTAAGCCAAAACCTTTAGTGAGAAATAAATAAAGAAGACGCCATCTACGTTTGCAACCAATCCAAGAATGCCATCAGAATGAGCCAACACTAACAAGAATTAATCATATGATGTTATTACTGAAAAGGTAGGAAGTAGATGAACTGTACTGTACCTTCGAGAAAAAGGAAGCCTTAAGAAAAGATTGGACATTGTGTTGACAACATCAGGCATAACAAACTGATAAAGTATCAGTTGCAGGATTGCAAACCACAGGTTCTTTGTAATGCCCTCTGCAGAATGTCGAGCAACCGCATGCCCAACCTATCACCACCCAAAAAAATAAATTTAACATCTTATCTTCACACAATTGTTCAACTAATTAACCAATCAAATCATAAAACAGAAGTAAACAAAACCAAACAATGAAATCTTCATACCTCATGACCAATGATCGTAGCTATCTCAGCATCACTTCTAAAATGTTTCAGCAACCCCGTGAAGACGACAATCTTCCCCCCAGGCAAGCAAAATGCATTGACAACAGGTTCATCCACCACCAAAACCTCCCAATTCAGATGATCCAAATGCGAAGTAGCAGTTTTAGTACCTCGTTCCTGACCCGTCTTCCTACTCTTCTGAATCCATTCATCATCAAGAATCTCATCTTCACGGGACCACTTCTTCACCTCTTCTCCAACGTCCGTCAGTGCCATCAAAGTGTCAGGCCCACTACCTTCATGTGCCGGCTCGAATCTATCGGAGGCATACTCCAAGTCAGTCCATCCCACCTCATGCCTCAACCCTCTCTGCAAAGCCTCAATGATATCCTTGGAAATCAACCTAACGCGGACGCTGTCTGGGTGTATAGCAGGCAAAATTTTCCCTTTGAAACTGGCTTTCAATTGCTCAAACTGGGACTCTCCCATCTTCTTCTCCAAGGCTTTCGACAAAATCACAAAATGGGTTCGCTTCGTGTAGGGAATAGTCTCCAAATTCCCAAAATACACAGTGATGAAAACCCCAGAACCCACCAGAACCACAATGAACACGTTTCTAGGACTCTGAAACCACTTACGGGGGCCTCTCGGTTTAAAATGGTGCACGCTGTTCCGATCGACATAGTAATATCTCTTGGCAGAATCAAGAAAGGGACTAGTGTACTGTGTTCTTCTGGTAAATCCAAGTTGTGGAATTGATTTTTGTGAAAGAGAAGAATACCAAGAAAAACCCAGAAAACTTATCTTTGTTGGAGGCCAAAGTGGAAGATTCGGTTGAGAAAGCTCTCGAAATGGGTTCTTTAGCTACAACTTTGGGTACAATCCTCGCTGTGAAACCGCGAAAGGCATCGAGTGCAAGCTTTGCTCGTCTATAGCATCCCATGACGAACAAGGTCTCAACTTTAAAAAAATGAAAAAACTTCTAACACCGATTTGAAATTTCAGCGAGAAAATATGGTTTGGATCACTGGCTCTTCTGGGTTTAAGAGCGAGAACCGAAGAAGTTGAAGAAGAAGCAAAGAACTCTGCCTGTCGCCAAAGAAAGGGCTCGAAGAATCGGGGGGAACGAAATGAAATTCGGTGAGAGGGTGCTTCTACGACGACGTGTCGTGAGCCCCAAGCACAGCTGTTTTATTTTTATTTATTTTTTTGTTCTTAAATTTTTTGTGGTCTAATTGGGACCAACGGAACCCGGTACGAGACAGTAGAGCTTGAATAAACAAATTGTAATAATTAATCCAATTAGTCCAAGTCTTAGAAAGATAGTGCAAAATCAACTCTTCTCAGTTGACAAGTTAAAATTCCAATTAGAAAAATTACATTTGGAGTTGAAAGCGAATTATATGAAATATTTAACCATCATCTGAGGTCACAAGTTCTAAGAAATTGTCTCGGAAGGAAATAAGATGAGAAGAACAAAACAACCGAAACACATAGCACTCATCTTTGTTTATATCTGGTAAATAGAAAAAGTTACAAATTAGAAACCGTTCTTACATTCCACGAACTTGAGAAGCAGAAAGGAAATAAGGAAAGTCTCATCGACTAGTAAAAGGTAAAAAGGACCCAAAAAAAAAACTAAGACCTAATAAACAAGAACAAAATTGTAGAATAAAATAGAGAAAGGGGTTGACAGAATAATAGGCTATACGCAAAACGAACAAAAAAATGATCCCTTAATGAGCCAAACCAAGGCCCTCTACTGAATATTTTAATTGTCAAAATATGCTCTACCCCCCCTCATCAGATCAACTGGCTTCTCGTCCCCTCCACTTGAAACCATTGTAAATGCAACCTTTATTGTTTTATGTTGCTCACAACAGATTAGGTGTTGAGGAACGTTGATAAAAGGTTTCACCATTTGTTTCCATAGTTGCTGCGACCTCTCCCACCACCGGATCGGTTTGAAAACCTATCATTTCTTCTATCGGAACCACCACCCCTGCCAAACCTTCCACCACGGAAGCCACCACCACCGCCAAATCTTCCTCCCCTTGCTTCTTTTTCTTGTAAATTCGGCAGTGATTCCAATACCTCTATGCTCACACTAGCTGCATTTTCCTGACCTGAACCCAAAATACAGATGATACAACTACAAGTATCAGACTTGTATGACAAGAAAACCAACCAACTACAAGACAAATCTGTCATGACGAGAATTCCCATGTCTAAAAAGAAATAATTGAATAAGGCGAGTTCACATTTGTATGCACGAGCCAATTTTGTGCACCCATGATAATCACATTGAGATGTGGAAAGAAAAATACCAGCAAGAAACATATCCAAATCTTCAGCTGCTACATCGAACACTGCACCTTTTCCATCAGCTGTTAGAGCCATACCCTTCACTGACTCAACCTTCTCCTCAGGCAAGAACCTCCTCAAGACCCCATAGGCAAAACTGAAACAAGGTTGGTGCAAATCAGGAGTCAAACATGATCAACAAATTAACACGCCAACACTAAAAAAGATAAAAGTAAGGGTTAACCAGAAAACCCACTAACTGGCAATCTGAAGTACTTTAAAAAACCATTTTACTAAAAGTGCACAAACTAAATCAATATAAGATATAACTATAGATACTTGTATATTAAACCATTCATGATACGGTAGAATGAAAAATCACAATGTGACTCCCATTCCGATAATCAACATTAGCAAGTATTTGTATCCGCATGTGAAACTAAAACAGAAGAACGGGACAGCGGGGAGTGCATATCCTTCTTTTAGTAATTATGCATGAGACATAAAATTAAAACACAAGACAAAAAGTGAAAAGTGCTTACGATGGTGAATAAATAGGTTTTCCAGCCTCGAGGAGTACTGTGACATGGTTCTCCATAGAGGATAGAAGTGATCTCTTCTTTATCTCAGTGTAGCCCTGCACACAATACAATAAACAACTTATAAGCTGATAAATAAAGAACATGAAATACAATGACATTTTATTTTTAAATAAAAAAGCACATCAAATAAGGAAGAAATAGAAAAGCTCACAGCAGCCTTAGCAAGTGCTTTTGCCAGTAGTTCTACGGCAGATAGTTCAGAGGTCCTAAGTAGCTCCTCAGCAACAGACTTGAAAGCGGGTATTACACTGAAATTAAAAAAGTATTAAAATATGAACCTGATCACATCAAAGTGTTACAAGCATCGCAATCTCAACTATACCTATCAGAGATTCGGGTTATCATTTCTGCTGCATCCTGACCAACTGCTTTGGCAACATCAACTGGCTTAGGAGCAGTTATGTGTTCGAATTTCACCCCCGACTCTCTTTCGATTTTTGAAACATTTGACCTTCTGGGATCATAAAGCATTACAGCAACTCCACTATTGCCTGAAAATATGGACACACCGCTAAGTACCACATAAAAGTACAGCCATTAAATAATAGAATACAAGAAAACAAGAAATACCAAAATTTTCAAGATTTACCTGCTCTGCCTGTGCGTCCAGATCGATGGATATAGTCTTCTACATCACGTGGAGGTTCACACTGCAAAATAAACATTAAAAGTAAGTATCTGAGATTGATAAATATTACAAAGCTTACCAATATGCACAGAGACAAACCTGGATAATTAATTGAACATCATTGATATCCAATCCACGCGCTGCCACATTTGTGGCCACTAATGTCATAAACTTGCCAGACCTGAAACCAGAAAGTGTGACCTGAAAGTACCAGACCACAGAAAGGAAAAAATAGATTCTCGGATTAGAAAAACAAAAATATTTAGCTTTCTTAGAAAAAAAATGTTAATGTCAAAGGAAAGAACCTTGAAATTACATAATTCAGTACATGAACAGGCACAAGGGGAAAAAAAAACGTGTACTTAAACAACTTACCTCGCGTTGACCCTGCTGTATGTCCCCATGCAAAGCACGTGCTCCAGGCAGCAACCCAGCGAGTTCAGAAGCAGCTTCCTTAGTCTCAGTGAAAATGATTGTGCGGCCTCCACTAAGTCAGAAACATACATTTCAGTACATGAAAAAAGATTTACAAACAATTTACCCAAAACTAAAAATAGAAAGCATATGTTATTGTTCACTAGAAAAAGAAAAAAAAACCAACCTGCTATAACAACGAATGATATCAGGAATAAGTTGTGATCTTGCTGAACTGGAGCAAGGAAGAACAATATGCCTAACATTATGACTGGCCTTCATTTTTCATTACCAACCAGATCAGCAGTTTTCTTATTTGGTTTAAGAAACCTAGAAGAAATCTGAAAACAAGAAAAGTAAAGTATCATTCATGTGCCAAAGATGGAGGAACGGTCTAATGTCAGAACAAAATCCAGCTATAACCAAAACAAGTTTCAGGTATACAAACTGAATTCAGGACATCCAAATTCAGGATCTCAGTTAAGATACTTACGCCTTTCACCCAATCCGGCAAAGTTGCACTGAAGAGAAGCGTTTGAACTTTACTTACATCCCCCACCTTTCCTGCAAACCCAACGAAGAGATATTAATAGCCATTTAAAATTCTTACCACCAACCAAATTAAAGAGTAGTGACACAGAACACAGATCATAGCACTTTGAAAATGTTTAGCTGCAACATAGTTTGACTTTGACAAATAAATTTTGCACGAATAAGTAACCTCGTAGAAAATTTTGAAAATCCATTTATCCCCCGTCAACGGAAGAAACTTTGACAGTCTAATGTCAAAAGAACATGATTTGACAGCAGTCAAATAGAAAGAGAAGTCTTTGCAAAACACAAAGATAAGATAATCCCATGTTTAAAATGGACAAGTACAATTTTAAAAAATTTGCACTAACCACAAGCATGGATACAAAATACTAAATGGAAGATATGCAGCAGTCACAGAAATAATCAAACATGCTACCAAAAATGGATGTTGACATTACTGCAAACACATACCTAGAATGAGTTCAACATCATCAACAAACCCCATCCTCAGCATTTCATCAGCCTCATCAAGGACCCGGAACTTCAAGGTACTTAAGTCGATATTTCCCTTCTCTATATGATCCTACAAATTTCCAAAAAAGTAATTTAAAATTACATGTATACCACAAAGTGCCAGAGCTAGCACAAGAACTCAACTATGATGGACAATAGCCAATACCTTTATACGTCCGGGTGTTCCAATAACAATATCAACCCCTCTCTTCAACTTATATTCTTGAGGCTGGTAGGGAGATCCACCGTATACACAACATGCTGCTAACCCCATAGCACCACCATAAAACTCAAAGTCGGCAAAAACCTGAATGAACCAAAAATTGTCAAAGTGAAAACTCTCAAAGCAACAACATTGCAAGCATTAGGTCCGGGAAAATTAAAAATACCTGTTTCGCTAGTTCCCTAGTGGGTAAAAGTACGATAACAGTTGGAGCTCTACCATACCCAGTCTTTCTAAATGCTTTTGCAGGGCCATTTATTAAAGACTCCAAAATGGGCAACACAAAAGCCAGAGTTTTACCCTGCAATATTGCAAAACAATAAGTATACAATTTAGAAATTGAATGAAAACTAAACTCATTAACAAGGTAAGTATTTCAATCCAATTCTACCGAAAAATATATTTCAATCCAAATAAACAAACCACAATACAATGGAAGAAAAAAAAATCTGCCCTTACTAGTAAATTAAATTACCTGGCCAGTGCGCGCCCGACCCACCAAATCAGAACCATCCAAAATGGTATCGAAGGTCATGGCCTGAATGGAAAACAAGGACTCAATCCCCTTCTCCTTCAATTTGGCCTTCAACGGCTCGGAAATCCGAAACCGCGAGACCGCATTAGGATCCTCTTCAGCCTTTTTCTCCTCAATCTTGGGCTCCTCCTCTTGTTCCACCTTGGCTTTCTTCGACTTCTTCTTGGTCTTCTCCTCGCTTTTGGACTTGGCATTCACGGCCTCGCCGAGCTCCGAGCTAGTATCGCTCCTATCTTCGTCGGCTTCGACATCCAAAGCCTTACGCTTTTTGAGCTTCGACTCTTTCTTCGCCTTCTTCTCAGTAGTTGGAGAGTCGGCTTCTAGGGTTTCGCTTTTCGACTTTTTCATCTTCTTCTCCTTTTTCTCCTTTGGAGTGGTCTCGGCGAGTAGATAATCAGATATATCTAACGAAGGCATGACGTTTTAAGGAGAGAAAACGTGTGTATACGTCTGTGTAAATAGAGAGACAGAAAGAGGGAGATAACAAACGAGAAAGAGGCGGAGCTGTAGGGGTTTCGGGTTTCTCCTGCTACAGAAAGTTGTGGCAGTGAGGTGCGTTAGCAGGAGAAAGAGAGAGGAGAAAATAAATTAGGGTTTCGCGGCTTTTATGGTCGTAGCGGTGAAGGCTTCTTGGGCCGTTAGATCATGTACCGCTACGAATTTTGGTTTCCTACCGTTGGATTTCCAGGCGCTCGTCAGTTGTAAAATATCTAGCGTACGGCAAAAGAAGGTAGCCCGGTCAATGCACAGCACACAAACAAAACGTGGCATCCCAATATTGTTTTTTGGCTTTTAAAAGAGAATTGCTCAAACGACTAATAACTAGTACCGATCAAACAATTTTTTTGGGGAGGCTAATTACGCTAATAAGCCCCGGATTAAATTTGGGCATCATTATTCTTCCCCAGTTCCCAGACTTGAGAGTTAGGACATTAATTGTCAGCTGGACATTGTTATATGTTGTCATTTTGATGTCAAGGATAATGTATAAAGAAGGGGATTCATATATAGCCCAATCCGTAAGAAAAATACAACCTTCTGTTTTTTTCTAAACACTTGACATAAAAGTATAACTATGTAAGAGGCTAGAAGCATAGGGAAAATACTAAGATTACAATTGAAGAAAAACAAGAAGCCCAACAATGAGATATATAAGCCATTTCTGAGCAGATGGCTGGGCAGAAGAGGAGGCGGTGTTGCACAAGTTAAAGCCGTACCAAATATCACTGGGAATGAAGGTGTTGTAGGAAAAAGTAACAGCCCTGGAATTGTGGCCATAGATTTTCACATTCTCAGGTTTCCAACCATCCGGTCCCGTTCTGTAGACATACAGATAACAGATTTGGTATGCACAGGGTCCGTATATCTCGAATGTGTCTGTAGAACACCGTTCGAATGTTTTTGAAGACGGATCGTCCAGTCGCGGTGCATAAATCTGCCCAGAAAAAAATGATCCTGTTAAGTTACATATGGAGCCAAATCTAAATACTAACATTGGTGTTTAGCATTTAACACATTAACTTGATTCTAAGTTTTCTAACAAGTTAAGATGTATATGCAACCATATCTAATGCTAATGCATTTGGTTTTCCATTTTAACACATCAGATTTATTCTAAAAAGCTTGGGTGTATCTGCAACCAAATCCAAGTGCTAATACATTAGTTTTACATTCAACACGCTAAACCCAAACTTTAAAATAAAATAAAAATATAAACAAAAGTGCACCTTGTACTACTAGAACAGCATTATACAATTCCTGTGGGGTGGTGGGACTAAGAAAATACTTTATTTTTTGTTTGTTTCTTGCCAAATTTACAAGAAAAAATTGGAACCTAACTTCCTTCCATTGGTTTCTCCATGTTCCAGAAACTAGAACTAAGCAAGATAATACTTTTTAACAATCCTAATAACTTTTGATTAGAAGTTAATACCAATTACATGGGTAAGGGTTTCAATTTCAAGACATGGGTTGGTCTTAAATTCCACTCAGGGTCAATTTGTGCTCTGTTCTTTGAAATACCCATATGCTTTACGCTTGTTTTCTAAACACAATCCTATCATATATTACGATTAACCCTCTTTTCCTGATAAATTTAACAGGCAAATTAGAGTAAGTAGAGAGAGAGAGAGAGAGAGAGAACCTGGTTGCCATAAGCATCCCCAAAGGAGATACTGATCTGGTCCCTTGTGTATCTCGTTGAGGAGCAGCTTGTGGTTATAATCGCCGTATAAGAACATTTCCCCGCATTCTTTTGTATGAAAAAGAAGATGAAAATGTTAGCAGAAGTTGAAACTATATCAAATTAAACGAAAGTTTGCTAATTTGCCGATTGTTGTATTTACCTGTATCTGGCTGATATTGAAGTCTTTGGCCGGTTCAGGCTGTATGATGCTTGATTTGGCTTCTGAGAGCGTGAAGAGGAAGGCAACTTGGAGGAGCAGCAAAGAGAGCGCTTTGATCATGTTTGATTGTTTTCTCCTCTCAGAAAGAAAATGACTTGCGGAATGCGGAGTCGTCAAGAAAAGCAAGCGTCTTGTGAAGAAGATAATTTTGTGGAGAAAGCGTCTTCCACGAAAACAGTAAATCATTTATATCCATCAAGACAAATAAGGGCGAATCCGTCTTTAAAATTAATTTCTACGTTTTCTTCATTTTATTTTCTAACATGGACAAATTACCAACTGAAACTTGTTCTAGTGGTATCTCCTTTCTCATTGTTAAAATATTTAACTTAAGCCGAGCCACATGGCATTAAATAGGGTAAAGTGATTGGTTGCTTAATTAAAACATTCTCAGGCAAGGCATGGTGGTGGTGACAAAGTCGCACGAAGCACATCCCCTATCCTCGGGTTAGTAGGGTCCCCCACAACCACAAAAGATGGGTAACAAACCAGAAAATATACCTCTTAATTTGATATGCAAGATGGAAAACTGAGAAAGCTCTATGCAACTTGCCATTGGCCATAAGTTTTCATGTGTGTTGCAGCAATTAGTAAATCTCTGAACTCTTTTTTCCCTCAAAAGATCTCTAAACGTCTTCTTTATTACATATGTTTAGTTTAAACCGGATGCATTGCATTTCGGCCAATGGGCCTATGGGTGCATTTTACCGTGAGCAAATAAATGTTCAGGGCCAACATAGCCATCAGCCCGAAAGCAATTGTAAGCAGTTATTGGGCCCAAGGCAATTGTGAGCAGTTATCGGCCCAATTTATTTAATAGACGTTTTTTTGTACAAACGATATGGGGAGGAAGAAAACGAACCTAATAACCCGATGCATTCAGCATCTTGCATTTAATATATGTTTAAAGATGAGAAAAGATTTGTCCCTGTATTGAAACTGTATGAGAAAGGTATGTTAGCTTTGTAGTGCGGTTCCGCAATTCCGCCCTCGGAAAATATGGATAGATTCCCCTTAAGCTTTTATCTTTTATTTTCCACCCCTCGGAGTTGGAAGGTTCAAAAAATAAAGAGACGATTTTGGGTTCCTTCCTTTATCATCTTTAAAAGGAGACAATAAAGCATCGCCACCCTACTCTTCTCACCAATAATGACCTTACTTACGGTGGGTGATCATAACATCCTTGAACTATAGGTTCCAGAAGAACGGGACTGCTAAATTAAGTCTATCAAACTGGAGTTTTTAATATGCTCTCATTTAGCAATTCATTATTATGTAGTCTACCAAAAAAGAAATCAAAGACATCAATGATATTTGTCATTCATGGCATGCTATATATGGCCCAAAAATTCAAAAAAAAGCCATTTATCTGATAACAATTTATTATCTCTCTCTATCCATGCCATGCTCCCGTCCACCTCCAACCGAACAATATGGACCACACCAGTGTGTGTGTGGGTGTGGCACTACATTATCACTTCACCAGCTACAGCTACTCATTACATTGAACTCGTAGTGACTAAATATATCACTCAACTGTATACAAACTATACTGTAGCAAAACAATTAGATACAAACTGTAACAACTAACTACTTCCCAACGCCCATTAACCCTTTTCCCCTACAATCTGGGAAAATCCTTATCCATCCAATTTATGTGACCCAAATAAAATTATAAGATATTAAAAAAAGTGCAAAAAATAAATAAAAATTTACCGCCATTTCTTTCATTTCCATCTGAACCCCCACTCATCGTGCTCCTTGAACCTCCTCAACACCCCTTCCAGCGCAATATCGAAAGCATCTTTCACACTCTCCAAACCCTCCTGAGGTTTCGCATACAAAAACTTGGGTATATAATCGATCACTTTCCCTCTCATTTTTTCAACCTCCTCTCTGCTGAACCCCTGAAGCACGTTCTTTATCGACGTCCCGTTTGTAACGGCGTTACGGTCTATGTAAACGGAGTAACTCTCCGGTTCGCCTGGTAAAAACCACTCGTACTGTATGTAAGCGGTTCGCTTCCAGAAGAAGACCGGGATCGAACCGGCCACCATGCAGTCGAAAATCGACCTCCGCGTGAAGCTATCGCCTCTCGGCTGCAAACAAAAATCCGAGTCCAGAAACGTTTCGAGGATCGCTGAGGTGCCGTTCGAGCACTTGGTCCCCGAGCAGTCCACTACTCGGCACGACTCCGACTCGCTCTCGCAGTGACTCAGCAGAAGCCCTCTGAAGTCGTTCTTTATCGCGCCGCGTTTCGCTCCGGCGAAGCAGAAGAGCTTCGTGCGGTTGCGCGTACGGACGAAGCTCTGCCACTCGGCGACGTCGGAGTCTGACCTGGGGTGGAATCCGGTGGGGTAGGGAACACCGACGTCGAAATAGTCCCACGGGTTTCGCTCAATCAGGAGACGCGTGATGTTTCTCATGCCGGGGAGGTAAATGCAGCGTGACCCCCAATCTTGGTCGTTGGACCGTCGAAAGTCCCACGTGATCCGCCCCATCGTGATGAAATGATCCCAGCCCTCGGATCTTTTGTAGTACTGCTGGTCCTGGACCCACCTAAGCATCATCTCGCAGTGGCGGTCGCGGTCCTGTGCGGTACTGGAGTTCGACCACAAGTACTTGCCCACCGCGAGTCCAGCGTAGAAGGGGATGTAGAACGCCGTGGCCGATTCTGGCTCCATGACCCGGCACTTATGGTTCAGGATCCGATTGTGGAAAATCACCTCCGAAACGAACTGGTCCGTCCAGTACCACGCCGGAGCGAGATTCTCTGGCACGACTCCGGCGATTCCCGTCGCCTGCTGGCCGAGCCCCTCGTTCGCCAAGGCTTTGCAGCGCGAGCTCCACGGGTTGAGGTCGTCGCAATTTTGTAAAATCTCTTGGTTGAGGGTTTTGGGGAGGTCGTAGACGAAGACCCGGCCCGACCCGCATCGGTCTTCAGGTTCAGGTACTGGTAAGGGTTCGGGTTTAAGGGAGTTCGGCGGAGAAAAATGTTGGCGAGAGAAAGGGAGAGAGCGAAGAGTGAAGAGGAGCAGGACCTGGAGGGCGAGTATGGCGAAGAGTAGGCATGTGCGAGGGTGGTGGATGAGCTGGAGGAGTGAGTTGAAGGAGTTGAGCGGGTCCGGACTTTTGGGCCTTTTGAGTTGGGGCTCTTTAGACGGATGCTCCGAAATCGAAAGCATCAGAGAAAGAGGAAGAGAACGGCAGAGCTGATAGGCTTTTCCCGGCGGGCTTAACCGGAAAAATGGTGGAGTTTTCAGAGAGAGAGAGAGAGAGAGGAAAGTGGTGCTGTTTTGTTTGTTTCGAGTGGAGGTGTGTAGAGCTGTGTGAAGAAGGAGGTGAGGCAAGGACACGTGTGCGGTGTGATGACCGGCTGCTACGGGAACCGACAGAGTGCAGACCGGCACGTGGAAGTCCGTATATTTGAAGTATTTCCTAGTTGAAGACGGTGGAAGTAGAGGAGGCTCCTGAATACATATTTTAGAAGTTAACTCGTGATGCAATGACGGCACGTGGTGCGTGAGATGCGCGCCTTAGACGGAGATCTTAGCACCTGTTGGATTAATATCTGGGACGAGGGCAGCGTACGCCGTCGGTTCTGGCTTCACGTAATTGGTTGTACTTGTAGATTTGTACAGTTAACGTATGCAGAAATGTAGAATACTAAGGATCTGTTTGGGTCGTAAAATTGCTTTCTAACAACAAAGATGCTTAGCGTAAAAACTTAAAAATTGTGTTTAGCATTAGTACTTAAATATTCAATAACATTTTTGACAATATTCGGGACTTTAAAAAATCACTTATTAATAGAAGTGCTTCTTACTTAGTATTCTCAAACGAATACAAAATACAATCGGTATGATCATACGGTTGGTTTGCGCGTTGAGATTGGGTGACGTCGGGGTGTTGTTGGGCATAGCAGCTGTATCGATGGAGAGATGTGGCCCTTGTTGATTGGGCTGACTGCCGACAAAAACAGTCGTTCTGGTGGTCATTTTTACAAACAGTTTTTATACATGGCTGAGGGCTCGTATGCAAATACCAAATTATCAGCTGCGTTGAGGGCCCCGGATGTTGAAACATTTTATAATGATTACAAACGTGGCGAATTATCAAAGGTGGAGGTCTAAGTGGGTACCAATTCCCATGTGGTTAATTCGATTGAATGTATTCAATTTTATGCAGAGGGATCCATAATTTAGTATGAGCTTGTGCATAATATGTGCATACAAAATTCAACGTATAATGTCACACATAATATGTTGATAGATTATATTATGTTACTATTTATATCTGATTTTTCTTTAAACACAACGAAGGAAGTACATAGCATTTGTTAATGTCTACATAATATGATTACTGTATCTTATTTTTATTCAAATGGAATTTACTAAATACATACCATGTGGTCATGTTAATGCATAAATAGTACTAATTAACCAGTTATCGAAATTCGTTAACAATATATCGTGGTGAGTGAACAGCATATGGGTGGGATGCGTATGAGAGTGAAGGTTTCAGTGAAGCGTGAAGCTCCATAATGAGGAAGCCTACAAACATGGATGAACCAGCACACGTTATGACGGTGCCTCGCTTTCAAACTCATCACATTTTTTAACATTAAAACCGAAGTATGATCTTAATTTGTCACCGCCTATAGTTATGCATAGCCGTGATTGTCATTTGATGATTAATCTATGAATTTTTGTTATAAGGATATTGAGGAATTGCTCAAAATTACTACATTAGGGAATGTCTTAGGTAAAAACAAGCAAGGCAGCCGTCTAAGATCATCTCAAACCGAAATGTCAAAAGTGTCATATAGACATTTAATGACTATAAATAACATCTCACATCACTTCAACCGAATTGTTAAAGTTGATGTGAAATGAAGGTTGGAGGTTTAGCTGTTATTTTTAAAAGACTTGGATGTTACTTTCATTTATAATTTTACTTTTTTATTTTGTTTTCTTATTTATCTTTAATGATTTGACTGTTACAATAATTATTTATTTGACATATCGGGTGGAGTGTAAAACTGTTTAAATATCAAATTGCTACATCAGCCATCAAATTTAAATTTGATGTTTGGTATTTGACATCTCCCTTGGAGATGCTCTAAGGCCTCCAACTTAATTATTCAATTTTAAACTATAAAAAGATGAAACTCAATAAAGCCTACTCATTGTAAAAAAACAATTAACCTAGTTGAATCAATTAGGAAATTGAAAAAAACAAACATTATAGACAAACTTGATTATGTAAAGTTAATTGATACTTTTGGATTGAAAAATGCAAGACAAGTGATATTTGATGTGATGTTTTGATTCATTTTTATAAATGTTGTTATAAATTACATATATTATTTATTTTTTTTTTTTTTTTTTTTTTTTTTTTTTTTTTTTTTTTGTTAATTTAAAATTGTTTATTTGATTATATTATAATATTTTTTACTTTTTATTCAGAAGAAAAAAAATCACATAAATATACATATAGAGAGAAGGTCCTATTTAAGATGTTCACCTAAGGTCTTTAAAAGGTAGGACCGCCACTGTGCTACACTAGTGGATCTTTTACCCTATTAAGAGAGACGATAATAAACTAAATTCTCACACACTACAATTATAAATTCAAATTTAATTGCTTAAGATTGGAACGCAGGACACGAAGGCACCATTAGTTGTATAAAACAGTGTTTGCATGTGGAACAACTTTCATGTCTTCCTATCATTGGCTGTCAGTTTTCAAGATCTAACTAATGGGACAGAGTTAACAACTAATAATTTGACATATGCGATTTTGAAAACACGACTGATGTTAAACAAAGTATTTTATATTATCTTTTTTCTCATAACTCAATTGCACCGAATGACACTAAGTTTTGAAGCAAAATATATGCAGTGAAAAAGTATAGTTTAAAAAAACCTATTTTTTCCCCTTAAAATTCCTTCCTACACGCAAACGTAACCTTTTCAATTTCTGAAAAATGTACTTTAATTCAACAACGTGACTCAGTTCCAACTTGCCTTGCAGGGGTTGATTTGACCAGTTTTTAAGCGTGACCATTCACTTGGAAAAATTCCAAGCCCATTCTCACTGGTTTTGGAATCATGGGATGATTAGAAATGATTAATTGCTCTCTTTTTCTTTCGCTTTTGAACAGATTGTCATAAACTAACACATATTTTTCTTGTTTGATATGGTCATTTGCTTTTCTCTCAGAAAAATAAAAACATGGTCACTTGCTTTAATGATTGTTCTTAATCCTCTCTGCTAAGAAAGTATGCTTAAAGTGCATTATTAATGCGCCACTTCTGTGCAACGTCATTATATTTACAAGTTTCCAGCTGTGTCCCCCAACTCGAGCTCTTATGGACCATTAGGCTTGAACAGATAAAAACAGATGGCAATACTTGCTGTAACAGCCGGTACATGCCAAAACATGCACACAAGGAAGATTGGGCCGAGAATCCCTGTGCTTTTAATAGCATATGTGTAAATTCTTCGGTTTTGAACTACAGAGAATCCCTTTAAGTATCAAGAGGAGGCTGTCTGTCACCTATATGTTACTAGGGTATAACTTGAACGGAGAACACGAGAAAGCAATTAGGCGTGCAAGATTCAACATCCACAGTCTGGAAGCAATGAGCTCTGGTTGACCACCAGTATTCTAAATCTAATACTAACAGATGCTTCTATCTGTCGATACTGTTTAGGAGTGAAATAGAGTGTACAACTCGTACGTTATTTGAAATGTGCCGATTATACTGCTTACATGAAATTCTAACAATACACATATCGTTCAGATCTCAAACGAACACAGTCATTTTCATTTCAAAACAACACTAGTGAAGTGATATCTAACCCATCCGAATAAATACCTCTACTAACATCGAAATGCCGCTTACTGCTTCTTGAGGAGCAATGGTCCAACATTGTCTCCAGTAGCTTTATTGTGCTTTACATGGCTTCCATCGCACAGAGGGAAAGTCCCTGACCTCCAACACCTATTTCCAAACAACCACAACAACCAAAATTACTAAGCCCTCCCTGCACTTACCAAGTGCATATGCAACAGACAATCATGACATTTCACATGTCTCATTGAGCAAATGTCTCAGTCAGTCTTGGCACCGACTTAGGGCTAATGTTCAATAATTTCTCCTCCAAAGCACCAAAGTTTTCAAACACAATGCTACAGTCTAATAATAAACTGAATCTTACAAAACCCCATTAACAGAACTTCAAGACTATACTGTATCCCATACCCGTGCAACATAGCATCTAATCTAGAACAATAAGCAGCAAAAATAATTTCAAATATTGTTTACACAATACAATCAGTCTTCGAGGTTTGATATTTCCATAATTAATACGATCAAAAGTTCAAACAGTAGGAACATGAAATTGGAACTTACCTGCAATAAACTGTGAGGGGCTTAGAGAGTTCAGTGACGACAACAGAGTCCACAACCTTTTCCTCGCTCTTCCTAATTTCAGGGTTTATGGGTTGAGCCTCTGCTTTCACCACGACCATGGGCTTCATCCTTCTGCTATAACCACAACCAGAAGAAGAGGAAACAGGGTAGGCCAATTGGGTCCCGAAGGTGATAGCTTTTCTGCTACCCAGTTTCAAACCCTCCATTGATGGTTTTCTGTGACCGCAAGAAGCTAATCCGGCCGTGCTTACAATCGACGCCATTGTAATGGGTCTGGAGATTTCTTGCTCTCAAACGAGACGACCGATGGGTTAGTTAGGCGGAAGGTTGGTGGTGCTTCGGTCTTGGGACTTGTGGATGGCACACTCCACAGTCTATTTCTATGGTTGGGTTGGGTGGGTGGCGCTGGGCGAGACACGTCATCTGTCGTCTGGTAACTTGGGCTTTTTTTTTTTTTTTTTTTTTTTTTTTTTTTTTTTTTTTGGGTAAACTTGGGCTTTTGAGCCCTCAAACTCTTCCTCTTTTTTTTTTTTCATGCGAAAACACAGGTTCAGGTTGAGGCCCCTTACCTTTAGTGTCGGAGCCGAGTGAATATCCCGTTGGGCTTGTCACATAGCTGCTGAAAAAGGAATTTATCAAAAACGGAAAAACAAATTTTAGTTAATTGTCTGACAAAGAGATATTTTAAACTAGTCTAATATATAAAAAGGGAGACCGAACTCTGATGCAAGGAATAAATAATAGGTAATAGGGTATGAGTTTGCCAAATTACTTGATTTTAAGGGTTTGAATTCTATCAGATAAGTATAGTTAAACTCATAATTACTTGTTCAATACGAAAAGCTTTGGCGTATAATTTTTGACAAATTACCAATTACTTGATTTTAAGGGTTTGAATTCTATCAGATAAGCATAGTTAAACTCATAATTACTTGTTCAATGCGAAAAGCTTTGGAGTATAAGTTTTGACAAATTACCAATTACTGATGGGAGCTTCATGAATGACAATGATGAGAAAATCGCAGCGCCACCACCCACTAAAGTATAATTTGGGCACCAAATGGGCCCTGAAAGTTCACGGACCACGGACAGTGAAAGGTCGTAACGCCCACACCACATGGGAAAATTACGTCTGTAAGGCTGAGAAGACGAAATTACCCCCAACGCATACGTTTTCATGAGGAAAAACAAAACGGAAAAACGCGAAAATAATTTTTCAGGTGTGCGATCCCGCCTTCAACAACTGAAAAAATTCCCAATTACGACCAAAAATTACGAAAACAAGACACTGACTTTAAACAAGTCTCTCTCTTTCGTAATCTGAGAAACGTCTCCTTTTCTTCTCCTACGCTTTGAATTCAATTCAATTCCTCTCAAGCTCTATTCCTTTTGAAATTCAAATTCCGTTCCTAAAATTGAGAGGGAGAGAGATAGAGAGAGAGAGATTGGATTGGTTCAGCTTTCCACATTTGATGGCGAAGAGAAAACGAGTGGTGTTTGGGTTTTGTTATTGTCTTCTGACGATTTTGATTTACGCGAGGGTTTCGTTTTCCGCGAGATCTGATAAAGAAATTAGGGAGAGGTTCTACGGGAATATGATGAACTCGTCCGCACCGGAATCCGGTGACGGCACCATTGCGAAAATGTTCGATCGGGTTCTCGAGAAAGAGTTCTCTGAGAATGATCAGCCCGAAGGTTAATTAATTAATTATTTGGAATTTTAACTTAACATTTTGCATTTTGTAGTTATTGTTTGGTTTATCATCTTAATTCTAGTTAGTTAACATTTCATTTTGCTTTTCACTTCGTCTAGGATCTGACGGAAGCAGCTTCAACAACAGTGTGGCTGATCAACAAGTAGGTTTTGTTATTATCTCATCTTCTTGTTCCAATATGCAATAATGTGGTCGCAACAAGAAAAAATTGGAATAATTTGGTTTATTTTAATGCCGAAACAATTTTGTGGCGAAAGCTTTTCACTGCTTTAGCTTAACATACAAAATCAATAGTTGCTTTTATTTATTGTCTCATGTCATCTTACAAACTTCTGCTTTGTAGCTTGAGTGTGCATATGTAATTGTGTGATTGTCGTTGTTTCTTTCCTTTTGTCATGTATGTTATAATATGTTAAAGGCAAATACCGATTGTGTTTTGCAGGCTGTACTGGAGACTGTGGCTAAAATCACTCATGAGAAGAGAAATGATACACAAGAGGCAAAGTGTGTGAATGTTAAATGGTCTTTCGATGTTAAGACCATTGTTCTGTGAAAAGATATTAAATTCGTAGTGGAATAAGATGTGCGATTTTGCTTTTATGTAGTATTATATGCCATTTTGTGTTTGTTTTTGCTTCAGTGGCACAAAATCATTTCAGTTTCAAGGTGTTTTTTCCCTGGAGAATGAAGATTCCGAAGAAACAACAACCTTGATTGACAAAAAGGTACTTTGAAAGTTGTTGGCAGAGATTCCCAGGCGTTGTTATAATTGTCTTTAGCTTCATTTTAACCATATTAACTTATTTTACTTATTTAATGATAGGATAATGTGTTTGTGATGTCAAACAAGAAATCCAAATATCCAGTACTTCAAGTAGATTTGAGGTATTTTTATGTATTCCTTCCCTGACTATCATACATGGATAAATTCAGGGCCCATTTTCTCAAATGTTTTTAGAATGAATTTCCGTGTGGCATAAACTTTTATGTCTTTGGTTGTTTTTAATTGATTATGGATTTTATAATCTAATGCCTGTAAAACAGTATGTTATCCCTCAAATAGCCCTAGAGGTCTTCCTTTTTTATAACAAACTTGTGACACTGCATTCCCCTGCCTTAAGAACAGTTATTGCAGTTTCTAAGTTTTGATTTTACTTCTTGATACATGTATGATTTATGGTTAACACTTGACATTTTGGCAGGTTAATTTCTGATTTGGTGGTTATCATAGTTTCTGCTGCCATCGGTGGAATTTTGTTTTCTTGTTTGGGACAACCGGTTTGTCTTTAAATTTTAGCCACCCTTTTGCTTTCGTTCATAGTTTTTCTTATCTCTAACTTAAGCTGCCACTATATTTAATGGTCTATATGACCCAATATTTTAAACTTTCAGCTACATATAGCGATTTAAATGATGCAGCTGTTATCTAATTTATATGCATATGATAGGTTATTGTGGGCTACCTTCTTGCGGGTTCTCTCATTGGACCAGGGGGTCTGGAGTTCATCAGTGAGATGGTACAGGTACGTTGTGAATTGTGATCAGCTCAAAGTTATATTTTTGCTGATTTTAGAGTTCTAGTTTCTTTATAGTTTATCCCCAAATCTGCTACTTGTGTTACAGGTTGAAACTGTTGCACAATTTGGTGTTGTATTTCTTCTTTTTGCTCTAGGTTTGGAGTTTTCTTTGGCTAAGGTATGTTAGACTTGGGAAATTTTAGTTTACTGACTGTTATGCAGTAAAATTATGAATTTTTTAAATTCATATCCTGAGGGGGAGGTGAGGATGAAGATCATCTTTGTTTAAGGAAGCCATTTAACTTGTTGTTTGTGCAGTTAAAAGTTGTGGGCCCTGTAGCTGTTCTTGGAGGCCTTCTTCAAATCTTAACATTTATGTTCTTGTGTGCCATAACTGCTGTGGTATTGTATTCAAACTTGATAACCAGTTTTTTGTTACAAGTAACTAGTTAATTCCTGTCAAAATAAACAATAAGCTTGCCGTTTTGCTTATTTTGCAGTTGTGCGGAGCAAAGTTGTCTGAGGGAGTTTTTGTTGGTTCCTTCTTGTCAATGTCATCAACAGCAGTGGTATGTTTTTGAAGCCTTAATAATACGATGTCACTTTTCCTCCTCGGTTGTTTCTTTCTGAAATTTGAGTGCACATTCCTTTCTCATTTCCTTTTTACCAGGTGGTAAAATTTCTTGGAGAACGGAATAGTAGTAGTGCTCTTCATGGTCAAGTAACAATTGGAACACTCATTTTCCAGGTAGGTTTTGAACTCTGAAAACTCAGATGGTATGCTTACTGATAACTAGATGGCATTTTATGGAATAAGCTTGGTTTATGATGCTACATTCATTCACTGTGGATTATTTCAGGATTGTGCTGTTGGTTTACTGTTTGCTTTGCTCCCAGTTTTGGGTGGTCATAGCGGTCTTTTCCAAGGAATGGTATCAGTGGGGAAGCTGTAAGTCTCTCCGTCTTTGCCTTCTTTTATGGCATTTTAATTTTCTTTTCCCATGTTGTATCGTCCTTTTTTTTTGTTTTTATTCCAAAATTTTCTTTTGTTATAATGAAACTGAGAGTCATTTTAATCATGTTTTTTTTGCCATGCTTGAGTTTACCATTTTTTTCTCTTTGAAGTGGTCCTTTTGCAGTCCAACATCCTAATAAAGAGCTTGTTGCAAATTATAATTTGTAATTTGTTGTGTCTTCAGGCTGCTAGTGTTGTCTCTATATCTTGCTGCTGCCTCTGTATTGTGTTGGTCATTTGTTCCTCGTTTTCTGAAATTGATGATGCACTTGTCCTCTCAAGTAAGTTTTGATTGCTTAGTAGAATGAGCTAGTTACCTTTCTGTGTTGACTTTTAATAACTAACTTGGCTCATCTATAATTTTTATGGTGAATCAGACGAATGAGCTTTATCAGCTTGCTGTTGTGGCTTTCTGCTTATTATCTGCTTGGGTGAGTGGACATTTTGTATTCATTTTATATCAAGGCTAATTACTACTCATCATGTTCATCCTCAAATCTATGCATATCTATTTCGTGCTCCATCTGCATGCTTTTGAGTGCTGAGCCGGTTTTGACACATTATAACCACTATACTTCATTATTGGTCCAATGTTGGCCGAGTATTGGCTACTGAGTTGTTGCTCAACTTGGTTTTCCCGAATTTCTGGAGAATACAGTTTTTATGATACATTTCTAAAATAGGACTTGAATCTGCTCAGTTGGATGGGAATGAATTGATGGATGGCAAGATGAGTGCTTTAAACTTGGAAGTTGAAATGCCTGACTTAAATTGGATATTCAAAGTACCTTGAGAAAAGAAGGAAATATAAGCCTTCGTTATGTAATAAGTTTCCCTTCATGAACTTACTCTTAAATTGGATATTCAAAGTACCTTGAGAAAAGAAGGAAATATAAGCCTTCGTTATGTAATAAGTTTCCCTTCATGAACTTACTCTGAAGCTAAGATGGTGAATTACCTTTTTAGTGTGTGGATCACTGAATAACAGTAATCTGGTTCTAATGCACAGATCTAGCTACATATTTGTAATTCTCAACACTGTTTTAATACTACTGAATCTCTTGTAACCTTTTCAGTGTAGTGATAAGCTGGGCCTTAGCCTTGAGTTGGGTTCATTTGTGGCTGGAGTTATGATATCAACCACTGACCTTGCACAACATACTTTAGACCAGGTACTCTTCTGGATTTCCACTTGTTACCTAATTTATTGTTGTCATGTTCATTTGTTTACTTTTGTTTTTCCCCCCTTCTTAAGTTATAAACTCGTTGGACTTTATTTTTGGGGCTTCTTTTAACTATGTGGTTCGTAAACTTAGTAGCTTACATCGTTGTAAATGCATTTTTATGTTGCAAGTGTCAGGGTCATGCATTAATATTCTTTTTTGTTTCTCAGGAAAGAAAAGTAAAAGCAGATGCATGGACATCGCTTATGAATCATTTTTTATTTTCATTAGACAGCGTTAACATTAATGATTGCATTCGATGTTTTTGTACATTGTAGGTGGAACCAATTCGTAACCTTTTTGCAGCTCTCTTCCTTTCAAGTATTGGAATGCTCATACACGTACATTTCTTGTGGAGCCATGTGGACATACTGTTAGCATCTGTTATTCTAGTTATAGTTGTAAAGACTGCCGTTGCTTCTATTGTTACGAAGGCCTTCGGATATAGCTTTAGGACATCATTTGTGGTAAGTGGATTTATAAGGTTTGAGTCGTATCTTATCTGCAGCAAATAAAGTAAATTATTTGCTTCCTAATTTTTAAAACTTGATTACTTTTTATAGGTTGGAGTCTCACTTGCTCAAATTGGAGAATTTGCTTTTGTCCTCTTAAGTCGGGCGTCGAATCTTAATCTTGTTGAGGTAACTTATCTCTCTTTATGGTTAGTCATAGTAATCTAGGAATGGACTATATGCATGCATTCGCAAGTTGTGCAGTTTTAAATTTTCTTTTTGAATAAAAACATAGGAATCAGCTGAGAAAAGTAGAATTGGTTAAACTATTGAACTTCATTTTCTATCTGCATATTATCCTTTGGTTTCATCTTCGTTTTCTTATCATCGTCTTTTCAAACTATTTTTACAGGGGAAGATGTACCTGCTTCTTCTTGGAACGACTGCACTAAGCCTGGTAATTTTATATTATTTTTCCTTGTCATTGAAAGTGACTTCAATTCTCTCTCTCTCTCTCTCTCAAAATACTTACCCTAGTAAATGATGTTACAGGTTACAACTCCACTCTTGTTTAAGTTGATTCCTGCCATAATGAACTTAGGAGTTCTTATGCACTGGTTTCCTTCCGAGGGCACCCCATATAGCGAGGTCTCTCTCTTTCCCCCTCTCTGAAGCACATGCATGCATGCTGACACACTTGCAAGCATGGTATACTTTTGAAGTTTGAATGAACCATGCAGTGGATATTGCCCGTGGCTCTTCTCATCTCTCTTTTAAAATGAATATGTGTGCAGAGGGCTGGATATGCATTCAAAACTTGAAAAGTATAATTTGCTTCTGAAAGCTATGCAGAGTTTTAAGTATTTGCTCATTTCTTTTTTCCTCTGCTTTACAGGAGAAAGCTTTGATGATTGAAGCAGAACACAACAGAATATTGTGACCTTTGTCCATCGAGTCTCTTATCAAGTGAAGATTCAGTTGTATGATTTGTGAATATCAGGTTTCGATTTCGCTGCCAATTCCATTGTAGAGGTTGCAGATCACATTTCCGGATATTCAATTTCCAGCTCGGAGCTATCATGTATATAAATATTTTTTGTATTATTTCGAGTATTCTGTAAATAGGAGTCTATGTAGGGCTCCTCCAAGTGTGCATGCTTACTGCAAATACTACAGATTTAGGAAATTGTATCGTACCCAAAAATTAACTTCAGAAGCATTTTTTGTGAAATACTACTAACTGAAACATTTTTGGCCTTGCTTGCTACATTTATGTTGAAAATTTGCTTTTTCATTATGGTATAGATCTTTAGCACATATTAGATCAATGCAGATACCATATAACCATTAACGTGTCAAATCGGACTATTTTCGTTACGGCGAATGAAATAGAATTCTAACTCATTATCTTACTCTCATTCGTCATATTTAAGCGACTTTTTTAATGCAAAGACTTAAGACCAAAACTTTCTCTACGGGCCGGCCCGTGCCCAGAATTAATTGGGCTAACGGACTCCGGAGTCGGATGGGAAAGTGAAGCCCAAGAAGGGCACCGAGGCGCACTTTCTAGAAAAGGGAAAGTAAAATATTAAAGGCAAACCAAAATTCCAGTACGAAGAGTTTTGTTGGACTTGCGGTCTTCTTTTTTTGGTCTTCCTTCCTTGCTCCTCCTTCTTCTAGCTTTCCCTTCTCTTTCTTGTTTTTCTTAGGCAGACCAAGAGAGAGAATGGAGGGTCAGCAGACAGCTCTGTTTAAATGCCAGCGAATTGGCTGTAACGCCAAGTTTTCCGAGGACGACAATCCCGAAGGTTCCTGCCAATACCATGATTCGGTACTCTCTCTCTAACTTTCAAGCTCCTTCCTTTTTCTTTTCGGTTTTAGAAAAACCAAAGAAAAATGATCTTGCCAGGCACGGGTTTTGATGTGAAAGAAGCTGAGCAAATTCTCGTTTTCCTTTTTTTTGGTTGTTTCCGCAATAAAATCTACTTACTCTTTTGCCCGAGTTTAGTTTCATAAATTAAATTAAATATCCACTGAGATTAGTGTAGTGTAGCTGCTGCCTCAAATTCTTCTGTTTTATTTATTTATATTTTTTCTTCAATGCTTATTTTCGACTGCGAGATTCTGCTAATTGAGTATTTGGAAGTTCAATCAATTGTTGTAAAATCTTTTACAATTGAAAGTTGGCCCCCGTTTATGGGAGGACTGTGTATCGATTTGCTGCATTGATCAGTATATCTATCTTTGTGTAAATTATTTCGTTACATGACTCAATTCAAATTTAATTTAATTCTTTGATCCAAATGCTGCACATTTTGTATCTAAAAGGGGCGTTCGCGTGCATGCTCTGATTATAAATTATGAAACTTTTTATTGTGCCTTGTGAAATCTTGTTACTGAATAGTAATTCAGCTTATTGTTTTGCATGTTCGGCTTGGTTGATTGCGTGGGCATCTTCAATTTTTTCAGGGAGTAAGTATATGCCTATTGATTTAGTGGTTAAATTGCGTTCCTTTATTGATTTATCTTTTGGAGTTTTTGAAATGTTCCTCTTTATTTTCTCTTTTAGTTCAATGCCATGACTTAAGCTCAATATCTTTATTTTTCCAGCCTATATTTCATGATGGGATTAAAGAGTGGAGTTGTTGCAAGAAAAGAAGTCATGATTTCAGCTTATTTTTAGAAATTAAAGGGTAAGTGCTGAATTTTCACTAGGATTTAGGGTTTGCCTATAATGCGCTCGCTAGAACTTGAAACAAAGTTTATTGTTAATCAAAAATTTTTAGTCCTCCTAAATTGATTATGCATTTAAACTTTTATCAGTATAAGTTATTTAACTATCCTTTTCTGTCAAATTTTTTTGTGTGAATGAAGTTGCAAGACAGGTAAACACACAACAGAGAAACCAGTGTTGCCAAAGGCGAAGCCTAAGGCTCCTGTTTCTGCTCCTACCGCTCCCCCTGCAACTGATGCATCGTCAAAAGAATCATGCTCTAGGTGTCGGCAGGGTTTCTTCTGTTCAGATCATGGTAATTTCATTTGGATCCCTTTTGCCTTAAGCATTTGAACATGTCCGTTTTTCATACTTGGTGTACAGGAGGTTGGTTGGTTTTTTCATGGAAATGATATAATTTAGTTGCTTACAATAGGTGGAAGAATCTATGTGCACTGTAAGTTTGATATGACTATGAGAGGTTCTAATATTGCCTTCTCATTGTTATTTTGGTCAAAAGTGGTAGTGATTCAATCTCTGAAGTTAACAGATAAAGATATCAGTGGTTTGGATATTTGAAGAAAATAACAATATTAGGATGCGATATAAGGTGATTTGTTAAGTTTGCATACACTGAAAACTTATCCTTCGTCATTTAACTGGGGAACACAACTTATCCTTCTTCAGGTTTTGGAATCTGAGAAGGTGTAAAACACGACCAGTTATATGAATTGTTTTCATTCTCTTCTAGTATCTTCTCAATGACTGGGGAGTGCCCTCTGTGGAAGCTGATTCTCTCACTTTGTCATTATTTTTTCCCTCTTTACATTGTAACTGAAAAAAAAACTCCATATTCCCTAACTTATCCATTTTCTAGCTGTTTGTTTTGCATTTTAGGTTGAAGCAAGTGAATTTTTTTATTTTTTTATAGGTTCACAAGCCAAAGAAATGAATTCAAAGCCTGTAAATGTGGCCACAACTCCACTTGCTGAAAGCATTACAGATGTTGAAGGCACTTCTGCTCCATTTAAAAAGATTGTTGGCATAAACGAGCCCCAAATTTGCAAAAATAAAGGGTGTGGCAAAACTTTTAAAGAGAAGGATAACCATGAGGCTGCATGCAGTTACCATCCAGGGCCTGCTATTTTCCACGACCGAGTGAGAGGGGTGAGTGTCCTGCAATAGTCAATTCAATCCTTTATATAGTAATAGTATGCCTTATATCTTTAACTGTATAAGTAAGAATGATTCTTTCCTTTCTAATATTGCAGTGGAAGTGCTGCGACGTTCATGTAAAGGAATTTGATGAGTTCATGAGCATCCCTCCATGCACTAAGGGGTGGCACAATGCTGATCCAGTATCTTAAACAGAGCAGATACAGGGAGAAGGATGAAGTGGGTTTTGCTCTCCTTTTGGTCCTACATTTTGTTTATTCAACTGATACATTTCTGTCAACTCTCATCCAAGAACATTGAGATTTTCTGTTTCTAATCAACTTTAGATATATAGTTGTCAATTTGTCATTTCCTGTATTTTTGTTGAACTTATTAAGGCATTACGTGTTCAGATGTTAATTTTTTTTGTGCAATTAGAGTCTTATGAGCTAGGCCTGCCCCTGTGAGGTTCTCAGATTGGATCATGGTTTGGGCGTTTAGAACAATTAAAACCCAATCTAGAATGAATACAAATTCTGTTTCAATATTCTATTTTCATATTTTACTCAGATATTTGGTGTACCCAAAGCTGTGCACGCATTGAAATAAACATGAGCATGTTACCAAAACAAAAAAAGAAATGAACATGAGCATCGTAGCGACAGTATTGATTAAAGAAACAAAAATTTGGCGTGAAATAATAAGAGGACGAAAAGGAAGTGTAAGAGATGAGAATTATAATTATGGAGGGGGAACTTATCACGTGTCTTATGATGGGTATAATCAATCCCCCTGTACCCCCTTCTTTATACCCCCAACCAAATCCCACGGTCCCACATTTCCTCTTTGCATGTCCACAACAAGCTCTTATTTAGTTCCGTTGCTTTCTGATGGCGGGTTTGAGCCCTTCTTTGTTTTCTACTCCAAAATTTCATAACTATTTGGACATTTATGCTACTTTATCAAATATTTTAAGTATAGATGTTTTTCAACAAAACAAAATCAAAAGCTCAACCGGTTAAGAGCAATTATTCGTGTATTTAATGTTTTGTGTTCACTTCTACATAAAAAAATTAAATTGAATTAAACCAAATTACAATTAGTTTTGTTCCGTTGAATTTGCCCAATGGAAACCCCGCATAAAAGTAAATCAAGAAAAATTTGAATCCACTTGAGCGGAGTGAAGAGGGAGGGACCCCAAAAGAAAACCCAAGTGAAATAATAGTAACAATAACACATGGAAATTGAATGCATGGTGATGAGAGGTGGGCTCCCAAACCAATGGTTTAAAAGTGGGACTCATCAATGTCACGCCCGTAGTACAATTGCTGACGGCGGGTCACCGGCTGCTTCTACGCCGGTCTTGTCTTTGGCTTTAGCCTCTCAGTCTCAGAGCGCAGTCTGTCTGGCTCTAATGTACCACCTTAGCTGTCACTTTTCATATTTTTTTAACCCTTTGTTTTTATTATTCAGGGGTAGGTGCCTTATAGCCTCAGACCTCAGACTAAGGCATGTGTACGTGTATGTATGTCTGTGGAGAGGAGAGGCCTCTTTGCCTCCACTGCATTTATGCAGGATCTTTCATCTTGTGGGTTTGCTGTGGTTAATGTGGCTTGCTTTGATGGGTTTGGCTGGGTTGTCTTTGTCCATAGGATAAACCCTAATTTGTATTGGAATTTTTTATAATAAATCGAAACTTGGAATCGATCTAGGGCGGACACACAGTCTACCTATATATGTCTATTGGGGTTTTTGATTAGCCAATGGACAGTGGCAGGTCCGTTTCTCGAAGCCAAGATTAACAGATTAAGTTTTGGATCTTAAACCATAAAATACCAACAGGTCCCAATTCCCAGCTTTAAACGAAGGAGAAGCCTGTTCGTTTGTTTATAGGGCGAACGCTGCTGCAAAGCTGCAGATGCTGTTGCCAACGCTTATCCAACAACGACTCTTTTTGTGTGCTTATTTATTGATTATGGTTTTTAAGTATATCGAACTTTGCAAATCTGAGAAACCCTTTAAAAATAGAATCTTTGTAAAGTTCCATCCATCTGTTATTCTTTATATTAATTTATCATCATATGATAAAACCTACAAGTTTAAGAGTTCACGCGCCACTTTCATAATTTCTCTTGCTAATCTTACAAAACATAATAATTAGGTAAGCTTTTTGTGCCCTACCTACCATCATCATCAGTCTATAATTTCCATGATAATAGCTTCATTATTGAGAAGAAGAAGGTTTTGGTTTTGGGTGGTGAACTGGATTGGATTTTTTGTTATTCCAAGTCAATAACGCAACGCCACTAAAATTAATAGTAAAACAGTAATATTCTCGTTACAAATAAGTTTTTTTAGGCACAAATAGCATAGCTTTTTTTGTTTCAAACCAAGTCTATATGTGTCAACATTTTGGGTCAAGGGCAGATTGCAGTGGTAAGTGGACCAAATATATATAAACTGGGTTTCTTGGAAAGGAAGCTGTCATTGTTTGAAGCTGGTTTTGTTGCACAAAAGGCTGAAAAAAGCCAGAAACCCAAAGAGGATTTTCCCTTTGTCATCTTGGCCATTGATTTGATTGTATGCATGTAGTTAAATAATTACAAAGTTTTGACCCAAAAGCAAAACCTAAAAAAAAGAAGAGAGAAAACATTTAAACTCAAAACCAAGAAAAAAGAAGCAAAGCCATTTCTTTCTTTATGAGACAAGCAACAAACAAGACAAAAAGCCAAAATTCCTTGGAAGCATAAAAGACACCAGAGTGGCAATAAGACTCTTCTTCTCTCGTCTGAAACCAAACCAGAAACACCAAAAACCAAACCAAACCATATGACCCAGTCTTCGCTGCCCTTCATCCCACGCTCCATAGGCAGAGAGTGGGAAGAAGAGGGAGAGGGAGGAGGGCAAGTTGGTCAATTTACAAATGTGTAATAAATATATACAGTGCTAATAGAAATAGGTGTCGAAAAATGCATGAGCTTTGGAAAACGCTTGGTACGAATGACGGCCGCTGCCGTTTGCTTTTTTACAGTCTCTGAGTCTCATCACTAACGTCGCTTCACCGCCGTTTGTACACTACATACATACACACACCTTTCTCAAAACACGCAGAATTAGAGAAAGATAGAGAGAGAGACTGAAGAATTCAATTCTCTCTCTTCATAACACTCCCTCAGTGTGGCTTACACTTCACGCCAAACGTCTGCTCCCTCTGCTTCCCTCTTTCTGTTACTGGTATTATGTGTGAGGTTGAAGAACCCAGAGCTTAGCTCATCTTGCTCTTCAGTTCAGTCCCCATTTTCCTTTTTATTTCTTTTACGTCTCTCGTTTCTGGGTTTTTGCCATTGGAGCTATAGTTTGTGGAGGATGGAGGAAAGGGTTGTCTTCTGCGTCGGACTAGCTTTGCTTCCGCTTCTCTTTCCCTTTGCTTCCCCACTCAACGACGAAGGTAGCTCTCTCTCTCTCTCTCGCCTGCTACTTCTTTTTCGGCTTTCATGCTCAAAATTCTATCTCTTTTCCTTGGATTTTCGTTTGGTTGCCGAGAAAACGGAGGAAACAACCAGAACTGAACACATGAAAAACTTTGTTTTTATGTTTTTTGAACGTTGTGCTGTTCGGAAAATGGACTGTGGTCAGCGGTGCACTCTATTTTTAGTCCGTTGAGTTATGCCATTCTGTTCCCACATTTTCTCAGCAGGCGAACGCTATACCCAATAAGCCACACCCTTTCAGTGCTTCCAAGTTTCAATTTTTGTGTTTTGGGTTGAACTTAGAATCCTCAACTCTAGCGTCTGAATTATTATACTATTTAAATTGAAATTATTTTATTTTATATCCTATAGCTGGGTATTATTAAATAGTCTTATTAATTTCTCTGGAATATTTTATTTGGGTGCACAGGAAAGGCGTTGATGTCAGTTAAGGCTTCATTCAGTAATGTAGCCAACGTGTTACTCGACTGGAACGATGCCCATGATGAAGATTTCTGTTCTTGGCGAGGAGTTTTCTGTGACAATGTCACCCTCTCTGTGGCCTCCTTGTGGGTTCTCTCTCTCTCTCTCTCTCTCTCTCTCTCTCTCTCTGTGAACCCTTTAATCGTTTGCTGCAGTATTTGGTTTTGCATATTTGATGGGTTTAATATTCTTTTGTTTGTTGTCTGAAGGAACCTGTCCAATTTGAACCTTGGTGGAGAGATTTCACCAGCCATTGGAGATTTGGGGAACTTACAATCCATGTATGTTTCAGTTCCTTTGATACAATTTGTATCTTCTTTTATGTTTTGGTGCAATAGCATTGAACGGTTTTTGATTGACTTTTCTGTATTTATAAATGGTAGAGACTTGCAGGGGAATAAGCTTACTGGTCAAATACCGGATGAGATTGGCAACTGTGCTTCTCTTACGCATTTGTAAGATTTATCCTTGATGTTTAACCTTTTCTATATTCGTCCTTGGAGTTTGTTTCTGTTCTGTTTTCGCTGAGTAGTTTGTGTTGAAACTGCAGGGATTTATCTGATAATTTCCTGTATGGAGACATACCTTTCTCCGTTTCCAAGCTTAAGAAGCTGGAGCTTTTGTAAGTGATATAATCATGGAGTGCCAGTAAGATTCATAAAAGTTCCTACAAACTAATCTGGTTCTATTTATGCAGGAATTTGAAGAACAATCAGTTGACTGGTCCTATCCCTACAACTCTAACCCAAATTCCAAACCTGAAAACTCTGTGGGTTCTCTGCTTTTAAAATTAAAAACTTGTTATATTATGTAGTAAAATTCAGTTTCCAACAATAATTGTGCTTAGATATGTTTTCACATGACATTTGGACTAATAATTTCTTTCTCTATGGGTATGATGGTTTGCCAATTGAAGTGATCTTGCTCGGAATCAGCTTACTGGTGAGATTCCTAGGCTAATATATTGGAATGAAGTGCTGCAGTACCTGTAAGTGCCGGAAACATTGTTACAAGCAAGATTTCAATTTACAGTGATTCAAATTTATTGGTTATGGTTATTATATGATAATTTGTAGCTAGCAAGGCTGTAGTATATATGCTACAGAAGCCTCAGCATTTCTGATTCTTTTGGTTGAAAATGACTTACAGTGGATTGCGTGGAAACTCTTTGACTGGATCACTGTCACCAGATATGTGTCAATTGACGGGCTTGTGGTACTTGTAAGTGACATACAACCTAAGTTCAACTATTTTTTTTGTCATTCCTTCTCTATTATTTTGTTCCTGTTATTAACTTTAAAAAAAAATTGTTTTGTACAACAGTGATGTTAGAGGCAATAATTTGACTGGCCCGATCCCCGACAACATTGGCAACTGTACAAGCTTTGAGATCCTGTATGTTGTCTTTAAATGTTTTTAGTCCCCCCTTGCCTACAAAAAATAACTGAATCTTTTGTTTGAAATTTTTGTAATGGTTATGTTTTGGAACTACAGGGATATATCATATAATCAGATAAACGGTGGAATCCCATATAACATTGGTTTTTTACAAGTAGCTACGCTGTAAGTTTTATGGCTTTTGACAGTTGTAGTTATTGTGGACTTCATCTGATGACAAGGTTATAAAAAGCCTTTTTGGTTTGGGTATTAAGGTTATGGTACTTTTGTTAGGTCGCTTCAAGGGAATAGATTGACGGGAAAAATCCCTGAGGTGATTGGTCTAATGCAGGCCCTTGCTGTTCTGTAAGTGAGCTTAATTGAACTTTTAGTATTTTATTCCAGTAGGATTTTTTGCAGCAGTATTCTTTTTCCTTAGTAGAGAGTTAATTTGCTTTTTAATTTCCCATTGGTTTTCCAGGGATTTGAGTGAGAATGAACTGGTAGGGCCAATCCCACCAATACTTGGCAATTTATCCTACACAGGGAAATTGTAAGCTCGGCTTGCTTTGAGGGATAGTGTCACCTTGAATGCTTCAGTATTTTGTCTTGACACGTTTTCTTATTCCAGATATCTCCATGGCAACAAGTTGACTGGGCCAATTCCTCCTGAGCTTGGCAATATGTCTAAACTTAGCTATTTGTAAGTACCCTATATGATACAAACCTATAGATGTAATAGTTAAATCTCTCTGATTGAATTTGCTTTACAACTTTTATCTGCAGACAATTGAATGACAACAAATTGCTCGGTACAATTCCTGCTGAGCTTGGGAAGCTGCAGCAGTTGTTTGAGTTGTGAGTATTTATTGTCACCATTCCTGTTGGTAATCCCAGTTTACTTTTACTGACGTGCATGTTATGCGTCAGGAATCTTGCCAACAATGAACTGGAAGGTCCCATTCCACATGAAATCAGTTCCTGCACGGCGTTGAATCAATTGTACGATATCTGATTTCTGACTTTAATCAAGCTTCAGTGATGTTATGCATATTGATTGAGTTTATTGTTCATTGATTGTTGATTTTATTTTAGCAATGTACATGGGAACCACTTGACTGGGTCTATACCTCTGGCATTCCGCAATCTGCAGAGTTTAACTTATCTGTGAGTTCTGCTGTTTTGAACTATGTTTATTACTTGGTGTTCAATTGATCTTGCTTGTAAATTGATAGTATTAAATTTATTGGACCTGCAGGAATTTGTCATCAAACTATTTTAGTGATAGAATAGCTATTGAGTTGGGACGCATCATCAATCTTGACACACTGTAAGTGTCTAGGTGTCGTGTTTTGTTGCCTCATGCTTTTAATGCTGATTTGAGTGACTGTATTCACATTTTTCCAGGGATCTGTCTAGGAATAATTTTTCAGGCCCTGTTCCAGCTTCAGTTGGTGATCTTGAGCACCTTCTAACCTTGTAAGTTTACTTTATTAAGTACTTGCTATATAGGTTCATTGTTTGTGGCACCTGACTCTTGATTTGTTTACTTGCAGAAATTTGAGTGATAATAATCTTGATGGTTCTTTGCCAGCAGAATTTGGGAGCCTTAGGAGTGTTCAAATTATGTAAGTTTCTATTAGGACTATTTTGTAATTTTGACTTTTATAGATGAAATCTTTGCCCTCCTGATATGTCCGGACCTTAATGAATGTGTTACAGTGATATGTCTTTTAACAATCTTTCTGGAAGTATACCAGCAGAATTGGGTCAGTTGCAGAACCTTGTGGCGTTGTAAGCTCTTTCCCCGCTTCATCATGTCATGTCCCAATTTTCATGTTTCACATATTTTGTCATATTAATTCTATTTTGTGCCATATTATGGTAGGATACTTAATAACAACAACTTGCATGGAAGGATACCTGATCAGCTAACCAATTGTTTCAGTCTTGCCACCTTGTGAGTTCTGTTTCTTGAATCTTTCCCATTTTCATTCTTGTATTTCCTAAACCCTTCTTGAATGCTGTTTCATCACAATTTCAGGAATTTCTCGTACAACAATTTTTCTGGTGTTATACCTCCCATGAGGAACTTTTCACGTTTTTCACCAGACAGGTTCGTGGCGGAAAAGTTGTGGTTAATTCCTTTTTTAAATATTTGCTTGTGGTAATAATGTTTTGTGTTTCAGTTTTATTGGAAACCCATTGTTGTGTGGCGACTGGTTGGGATCAATATGCAGACCTTGTGCTGCAAAATCCAGGGGTAAATTTTAACTATTTCCTGTTATTTTGTGCAAATGGAATCTAAGGCATGTCAACGATCATCTAGGTATCATCCAAATTTAACAAATTATCCTTCTGACTTCTACTCTCAGCTATATTCTCCAGAACAGCAGTTGTTTGTATGACATTGGGCTTCATCACAGTATTATCCATGGTAATAGTTGCGGTTTACAAATCCAACCAAGCAAAGCAGTTAGTCATGGGATCTAGCAAGAGTGGGCAAGGCATGTAAACCGTTTGTATTTTTAAACATTCCCATTTGTATTTTCGTTCTCCAACCTAGCTAACATTTGATTTTCTTTCCAGGTCCTCCTACACTTGTAATCCTTCACATGGATATGGCCATACACACCTTTGATGATATAATGAGAATTACTGAGAATCTCAATGAGAAGTATATTATAGGATATGGTGCTTCTAGCACAGTGTACAAGTGTGTACTGAAGAATTCCCGACCAATGGCAATTAAGCGAATTTACAATCGGTATCCAGACAACATGCGGGAGTTTGAGACTGAACTTGAAACCATTGGCAGTATCAAGCATAGAAATCTTGTTAGCTTGCATGGGTATTCACTGTCACCACATGGAAATCTCCTCTTCTATGACTATATGGAGAATGGATCTCTCTGGGATCTGCTTCATGGTTAGCCTTGCTTAGCTGTCCTTGTTGCTTATTTCTGTCAGAAGGAATACTTTTTAAGTTTATTTAAGGTTATATTGTCATGTGATATCTCGAAGCACAATTTGAGTCTAGAATATGCTGAGATTAATTGTCAATTACTGATTCTTTTGCCAACGCTCGTGGCAGGACCAGCAAAGAAGGTTAAACTTGATTGGGAAACAAGGTTGAAAATAGCAGTTGGAGCTGCACAGGGACTTGCTTATCTTCACCATGATTGTAACCCCCGAATTATTCACAGGGATGTTAAATCTTCTAACATCTTGCTGGATGAGAATTTCGTGGCTCATCTCTCTGATTTTGGAATTGCAAAAAGCATCCCAGCTGCGAAGACCCACGCATCAACTTATGTTCTTGGAACAATTGGCTACATTGATCCTGAATATGCTCGAACTTCTCGGCTGACTGAAAAATCTGATGTGTATAGCTTTGGGGTTGTGCTTCTTGAGCTACTAACTGGGAAAAAGGCTGTGGACAAGGAATCGAACTTGCATCAATTGGTACGTTTCTGTATTACTCTCTGATTGATGTTTGTTCTATTTCGGTGGCATTGTTACTGAACTAACATTGAGGTATGTTTGTCACTCAGATATTGTCCAAGGCGGATACAAATACAGTAATGGAGACTGTTGACCCAGAGGTCTCTGTTACTTGCATGGATTTATCTCATGTCAGGAAGACCTTCCAACTTGCTCTGCTGTGCCTCAAGCGAAACCCTATTGAGAGACCAACCATGCATGAGGTTGCACGGGTTTTAGTCTCCCTCCTTCCTGCACCTCCCACAAAACATTGTTCCGTTTCGAAGGGCATTGACTATGCTAAATTTGCGGTTGACAAGGGACAGCAGCAACCAAAATTGCAGCAGCAGCAGCAACCGCAACAGCAACAGCAGCATCCTGTTCAGCAAGAGAGTAATTCATCTGATGCTCATTGGTTTGAACGGTTTGGTGAAGTTATATCTAAGAACACGCTTTGAAGTTTCTTGCCCCTTTTGTTTTGCAACGCGCTTTGAAGTGGGATAAGGAAAGTCCCAATTTTGGTTCGGATGGGTTTAAGTGCCTTTTGCTTTAGCAGATGAATTCAATATATATGTCCTAACGAGACAGCTTTTGGAAGTTGCCACTGTTGCATAGGTCTTTTGTAACGATGTCGTATAAGATTGAAAAATTGTAATTTTATGACTTAATTTTGTATCAGACAAGGGAAAGGAAAAGAAAACCCTGATGTCATATTGTATTCTGGTTTACCCACTGGTTGGTTAATTATTTCACTGTCAAGAAAGTATCCACAAAGATTTGGTTGAATGTCTGAAGCCATTGGATTTCTGAAAACGGGTTCACGAGAATTTATGGTCGCTCAGAGCATTCAGTCTGAGCTGAAAAAGGCATCCAAATTAATTTTTACTCAAAAGACAGTGGGGATTTTCTATGTCACAGGTAAATCTCTATTTCTTGGTTTCAGCACCGTAACCAAAAGTTAAGAGGGGCCCTTTCTTTCTAAAAAAAAAAAAAAAAAAAAAAAAAAAAAAAAAAAAAAAAAAAAATTTTCTTGAACTGGGAATTTAAGACATTCAATATTTTTTCCCTTTTTTTCTTTCATATTTTCATAACAAATTTAACCTGTAGGTACATGCTCGTAACGTTCACAACATAACAGCAGAAAATAATACCGAACCTCAAATCATTGCCAAAATGATGCTTCTTTGACCACATTTGCCGCCATCAACAATTTGATGGTCTATGAGCGGTGTGTAGAAAGAAGCATTCAATTAAGTCAGATATATGATTTTGATATATCTAAAACTTGGCTAGTCTTGTGCTTCTTCAGAAAATTTAATGAGCCAGAAACTATTCTCGATTAGGAACATTGTGAAATGCTGATATTGTACCTCAGAGTTGTCGATGAAAGGAGCTTGGTCTGTTTTCTTTTTGGTTTTACGGACGACGTTTTGGAAGAGGTTAAAACCTTAGCAGGCAAAGGCACTTTTGGACTGAGGTTTTGCATTGTTCTGGGCTTCAGATGCAAGGGAGAGCTGGCAATCATGTCAAGATAGACCGTGAAGAGACAGAGTTAAACATAGATTTCTCAATTTTTACATCTATACAATTATATCCAAAGACATTTAGATCAGATCGTACCTTACTAAATAAATCTGTTGGTGGCTCCTTTAGAAACCTCTTGTCAATTGCAAACTTGAATTCCTAAGGAACAGTTAAAGCATGCTTTTAAAACTTGGTTCAAAACAAGGTTTATCTTTTATTTTTGAATTTTGCTGATATGGGTAAAGACTTTGTCAGGACATTAACCTTGGCAATGAGAAGCTTAACTCAAAGCCCCGTAATGTAAATGTATACACAGATTGAGATTACCTTCTTTTTAATAGAGCAAGCTGTGCATTTGTAAGCCGTTCCACTTTTCTCTTGTGTCAAGGCATAGCCAAAGGTTGGCCTGTGCAAAAGAGTAAGAACGACATTAAGATAGCAACAATACATCTCAATTAAGATTACTCTGTAAAGTTTCTAATAATAGCTGCTTGAAGATGATAAACAATGGAATTTACAATTCATCAAGGTGGTAAAACTGATGCCTAACCGCGTGTTCGAAACTAAACTTAATAAAACTCTTGGATCAAGTGTTGAACGTGGGAAAAATTTACGAGTGCAAGGTAAAACTATATACAGAGAGGATACATTCGTTTATAGGTTTTAGCTTCAAAATTGACAAGCTCTGAAAGCAAAGATAGTTACCCTTTAATCTCTGTATTTTCATTAGAATTAGGTGCATTTGTCACCTGCAATTAAAAGATTATTATGTCATGATGAGAGAGTGGAGAAAGAAAGTTCACATCCAAATAATGAAACAAGTTTTGGAGGCTTACGTTATTAAATGTCTGTTGCATTGCATAAGCTCTTGCCGATGTCCTGAGGTTAAACACCTGATAGCAATCAAACAAAGAACTGTTAAGAATATTATGAAATGAATTTGATACCTTAAGTCACTTAGTAAAATGTTTTATGATAACCTGAAATTCTGTTGCTGGTACCGTGCTCTTTTTAGGGGTTGGCAATGGAGGAGCCTTGAGAATCTGCAGAGGCCAATATCAAAGAAATGAAAGGTCACAAAAGAGTATTGATTTTTCTTTCAAATACTATTCACTTGAAGCGCAAACTTTTATTTTTTCTATTCAATAGGAGTTCAACGGAATAGGAACTTGCTTTTGCTTGTTCTCCTGGTTTGGCATTAACCTTATACCTGAAAATCATAGTGTATAAGATGGCCCAACAGCTCATTAGGGAGACCTTCATGTATCAAACCCAAATATTTTATGAAAATCAAGCAAGAAGTGAATGTACCTACGTCTTTGTGCTCTATGTGCCGTTTCCAAATTCGGTTCTCTAGGAATGGTTACTTTAGGTCTAGCATTTACTGTGATAACATCACCTCCAACCTGCATTGCACCATGAAAAACTATTTTTTTCTTATTTGGTATGAAAACAAAATCTCTTCGTTTCTCAAGCACAAAATCTTTCTTTTTTTTTTTTTTTTTTTTTTTACGAACAGCAAACACCTCAATGCAGCATGTATGTCTATTACCTTTATTGGCACCTTGTGCAACCAAAAAGGTTGATGCTTATGTTCGGCAACCTGCTTCACAAAATTATAAGGGCCCTTCAGAAATTCATTTAGAAGATTGATCACTATTGAACTTCATATGTATCATAATTGCATGCATATACGCCTCTGGTATACAGAAGATAAAGAACCAATTTGACGAAAAAGACTACATGTACTCTCTCCAGACCTCAACAAAGATCAAACCAAAGATGCCATACTACCAAATAAAAAAGAGTTAGTGCACCTTGCGTAAATAGCCAGCCTCCAACTTCTGTCTTTTAGTACAATGGGTATCACTAGAAGGAGATTTCTGTGAATTAACATCAGCTTTCTCAAGCTTCTTCCCAAACCTGTGTAATCAAGAGTCGAAAATGGAAGAAATAGAGAAATAAAACACCAATCAATAAGAATAAGAGATCATCCACAAAAGAAACATCATCAAATTTGAAAGAGTATGTGTCCCCAGTAAACGAAACGAAAAATCATTCACCAACTTTATGTACAACCTGGTAAATGGCAATCTTGTCTTACCAATCTTTAGTAGGACATGATGATACAGTGTCACCTTTGAATACTGCAAAATGTGATTTATAAATAAAGAAAAGGCAAGGCAATTTTGCCAATGGAGATGACAACAGAGGGAGAAAAAAATTAGCACCTCCTCGATAACCGGTTCAAGTGAGGTTCTCGACGATGATTTTGCTTGGCCAACTGACTTGCTGTAGGTTTCATCAAAGTTGAAACCCTTGATAGAGGCGGTGACTTGGCTGGGGAGCTTGTTTTAGGGTTTTGAGTACCTCGAGCCATGTGATTAGAAAATTCTAATAATGTGGAAACATGAACATACAAAAGAACAGTAAGAAACAATATCTTGCCTTGTTAATCATAAGAAATGAGATCATATGGAAGAATAACATTGATATTTAGTAAAATTAAAATTAAAATGTACCTCTGTTATTCTCATCTACTGCTGCAGAGACCTCAGCTTCCATGCAATTATTTGAATCACTGTCTCTAATGCCTTGAACATCTTTGGATTCAGCAGAGACTTTTACAGGTTCCACAGGAATGTCTTTTTGCCAATTCATCAACAATTTTATAATGAAAGCTAAAAAAAAATAACAAAAAATTAAGAAAGAAAAACAGAGAGTTAGTGTTAGCCTTTTGTAAAGCACTCAATCAATACAAGTAAGAAATTAATCTACTTGCATCCAAAATTGTTACAAAGAAAACAATACAAAATTAATACTGATTAAGATGCATAATTGACTAAACACGTAGATATTGAATCAAATTGCAGAAAACGATCGTCACTTGAAACGGTCGTGATTGAAGATGATCCAAATTCATTGTTTGGGAATATGATGAAGCAAAATAACAAAGAAATGTTTCTCTAAATCGCTTACGTGAAGGCGGATAACTTCCGGCGAATCGGAACCAGTCTTCGGCTTCCGTGTCCTCCAAATCGGAATCGGGCTGAGTGAAATCGTAGAACTTAGGCGCGTCGAACTCGTAGTCCAAATCAATTTCATCTCCCTTGTAAGCTTCCCTCATAAAATACTGCATTTCTTCGTCCATTTCTCTCTCTCTAAATCTCGTTTCAGGCAATTGAACCAATGAATTCCATGCGTAAAATTTAATTACTTTGATATTACAAAGATATAATTTTTATTCTCCTTTTGCTGATTCTCCCTTTCTCATAAACTTGGACAGCGGACTTGTGATGTTTGGGTTGAAAAATTTCCCGGGAAATCAGAATTGAGAGAGAGAGAGAGAGAGAGAGGTGGGGTTATATATGTAATGTTTGATTATGAAATTTGAAACCCAAATTGACTGCTGTGATTTGTGAAGGAAGAAATTAAATTTCTTGACTTTTTTGTTTTGGTGCGAAAATTTCGGGCTGGTTTAAGAAAACAAACTCAGCAGCAAGAAAGGAAAGAGACGATGACAGAAGGAGGTTGAGGACGAACCTTTTTTAGCGCCGAAGTTTGGGACATGCTACGGTCCAAAATTTTGAACTTGTGGGCCCAGGCCCACTACTTGGTTATCATGGGCCCCCACCTCAACCTTAGTGCCTGCCTCCTACTAACTGGTAAGCCAATTTCAATAATCTTTTTTAAAATGTATTTCTTTTTATTTATTTATTTATAGTAACTATACTTTTATTTCAACAGATAATATCTTGAATTTTTCCGTACCAAAAAAATATATTGAATTTTATAGTATTATATATATATATTTTTTTTTGGTGGTCATTCGTTAGGGAGGGAAAGAGAGAGGGGGAGGGGAAGGAGTATTATATCGGGTTGCCTCAAAATTGTTTCTTACGTGAATCGAACTTGGGTGCACTTGAGGGGGGAGGGGGAGAGTTTGGCCCACTGGATTGATAAGAGAAAAAAATAATCTCTCAAAGTTCCTAACTTTTTTTAAAAAATTTAATAAATTCATATTTACTTTCTCATTTATAAAAAAATAAAAAAATCAAAGACAGTAACTTGAGGGGAATGGATTTTTGCCGCACTGTTAGACAGCTTGAAGAGAAATGGTTCAAAAGAGGTCTTGTCCAACAGTCCAACAAACAAGAACAATGCTTGGCTTTTCTGTGATGAAAAATGGTAAGATTTTATAATATTTAACTGTTGTGGTGGCAAGTCTTATTACTTTTCCCAATTAATTGAATTGATGATGGCAGCTGCATGAAGAGCCAAACACTGTCCTTTTCTTTTCTTTGTTGATAGTTGTTCTTGCTTAAACATATCAACATTTTGATTCATTCTCATACAGTTAATCATAAAGAAGAACAATTATTATTACCAACAATTAACAATAATGAAGAAGAACAGGGAGCCTGTAGTCAACAATTTGGGATTATGAAGAAATTTTCATATACGCCACATTTTGTCCCAGACTTGTAGCTAAAGATAACATCTCTTATGTGCTCAACAATCCAAAAATGTTGGCCATTTTTTGGATCCACATCCCTTTGGAATTCTTTTGGCATGTTGATAAATCTAAGAGTTGTTAGATTTCTCAGATGGTGGATGCTGGAGGGCACCTCCTTAAGTTGTGGGGAGGGCCCTATATGCAGCTCTTTGAGAAGAGGCATAACCCCATTGTCTATAATCAAAGATTTTAGTCCCTCCAAGTCCCTGAGTTGTAGGACCTTGAGCTTCTGAAATCCTCCTTCAAAATGCAGCTGAGCACCGTCATATGCCTTGTATGAGATCCCAAGCTCCAACAGATTAGGTAGATTTTGAAGGGCTTTTAGTGGGGAATCTCTCAGCCTTGACCAAAAAATCCGTAGCTTGACGAGGTGCTGAAGCTGCGAAATCCAGCTTGGCAACTTCTCTAGATGCCCTTTCAAGTAGAGAAGCCGCATAAATTGGGGTGGAGTTGAAATGGATTGTAGATCAAGGACCTCATCTTCACTTATTGTACTTACTTCTAGAGATTCAAGGTGGTTCATGTTTTCCACAGAAGCACATAGAGCCCTTCCATCTTCACTTCTCAAGTTTTTTATGCCCAACTTCCTCAGCTGCCTTAACTTTCCCAATGCTTTGATTAGGTTAATCCCTCCATGATTTGCCTCCACATGGTATAGCTTTTGCAATGCACATAAACATCCAATACCGTCATGTATCTTCACTCCCCGCTCGAATGTCATGCTAAACTCTATGTTGTAGTCACAATAGTAGGCCAAAAGATGTCTCAACTTAACGAGCTTATTGATCTTGGCTGGTATTTCATACACCAGAGACTGTTTTAGATCCAAGGTTTCTAAGTTTTGCAGATTACCTATGGACTCTGGAAGAAACTTCACCTTTGTATTCCTTAGGCTTAAGTACTTCAAGAGATACAAATCCCCAACGTATTTCGGAAGATGGTTTAGTGGAGCATCCGTGAAATCCAATACTTTCAAAAGTTTAAAGTTTCCACTCAATGTATTGAGAAAAGACTCGGACCATTCTTCTTGGTTGAAAGTAAATACGGAACGAATATGTGAGTGTTCAATCCTGAGACTGCTACTGCTGTCTATCGAGAGACGTCGAGTTATTTGCTTAGAAGATGACTCATCTTCTGATAAAACATGACAGAAACTCGAATCCATACCCTTTTTAAGAAGGACTTCGCGCAAAAGATCATGAACTCGACAACTTCTAGCTTTTCCATCAATGTAAAATTTTGATACTTGAACCAGGCTTCTATGAATTAGCTCAGTCAAGTATTCCTCTCCAACCTCTTCCAATGTCTTGCCTGTCTTCAGTTTTACAAAGCCTTCAGCTATCCACAACCGAATTAATCTTATGCAACTAATAGAATAATCCTCAGGAAATATGCCAAAGTATAAGACACAGGATTTGAGGTAATATGGTAGATGATGATAGCTAAGGGATAGGATTCTCATGAGGCTTGTAAGATGTGGATTGCTTTCTAACTCTGAACTCATGCTATTATATAGTTTTTGCCATTCAGACAGACCTTTAACCTTGGTTGACAGAAGACCACCAATGGAAACAATTGCCAAAGGCAGACCTTCACATTTTTTAACAATGTTAAGAGACAACTCTTCCAACTCTGGAGGACAATTGCCCTCCATTTCAAACTGAAATGCCTTTCTACAAAATAATTCCCATGCCTTGTTTGGAGGCAGAGGCTGCAAGTGATGAACATGAACTAAACAAGACTTTTTGCAAAAATCGGCAACATCTCTAATCCTAGTAGTGATCATGATTCTTCCCCCTTTATTATCTGGTAAAGCGTGTTCTATAGCCCCCCAGAAATCTACTTTCCACACATCATCAAACACTACCACATACCTCTTTTGCTGCAAATATTCTCTTGATTTGCTAATTAGGGACTCTTGATCCATTTTGTCAATCCCCTCAGGGGTGTTCTCCTTCCTTGACTTGCAGAACTGCCTGATCATCATCCTTAGAAGATCCCCCATCTTGTATGACTGAGAAACTGTAATCCAAGCATAGCAATCAAAGTGTGCCATCACAATCTGGCTGTCATAAACTTTCTTGGCAAGAGTGGTCTTGCCAAGTCCTCCCATACCAAGCACCGAAATCACCACACGGCGTTCATGTTTTGATGCTCCTTCTACCAACCAATTGATCAGCTCATCTCTGGCAGATTCAACACCAACAACTTGTGCTTCCTCAATGAAAAGGGAAGCCACTCTAGGGTCATGCCATAGAACAGTCATTTCTCCACTGCTTTGTCCTTGTTCACTGGAATTGAAGCCATATCTTTCATGTCTAGCCTTGATTTCACTAACTAATGTTTTCATAGCCTCAATTTTGGAGGCTATCTCATCCTGTGGTTTCATTTTCTTCACCAACCAAGTAATTTTATGCAGGAAACCACGATCTTGATGGTGCCGTATGATGCAAAGCAAATATTCATCAATGGCATCTTCTATGCAATAAGCTGCTTCCCTTACTTGTTTGATCCAAGTTCTGATACTGGCATCCACCATCTCCCCTTGCACAGCTGCTTTGGCATCTGCATCCTTGAGGAATGATCGGATGCTCTCGAGCTCATCTCTTATGCAACCAACTTCTTTGCGTACGTCTCTCGAAAGTTTTGCTTCTGTGCTGATGAGTAGTGAAACTAGTTTCTCGATCACAAAGCATACAACTGACTCTGCCATATCTTGTTAGGTTGCAGACGACTTTCTGGCTTGCACCAGCTATCTTCAAGTCTTAACCCAATAAAATGTCAACCTCGTCTTTTGGCTTTGTTGAAATAATAGTATAATGTTCAATTTGACAATGAACATGCTTATTGAAAGTGGTCTGATAAGGCTGCGTTTCGACTCATCCATTCCATTGACTAATTAATTCACGAGACTTGTTGTCAACGAGTAAGACCAGCCAACCATTTTCACCAACCAGGATAAGACTTGGCCTTAAGAAAGCCAACATGTTGCCTCTGGTTTTCCATGAACACCTACCCAACTCTCCTTTCAAAACTAACAAACGAACTACCACCATTTATATGTGGTAGGCTGCCATGAACCCCTGCCAATTGAAATATTATTCCACCCCCTTCAATAATTAATCACATAATAACCATGTAGGACATTGTATATATGAATTTATAGTTTAATGAAATTAAATGTTCTGTAGTAACACAAAATTACATCTCTACTATAAAAATTAGGGGTGTGCATCGATTCCAATCCAACCTATTTTGAAGGATCTGCATTCAATTCAATTAGAATTCGTAAACTAATTCGATCTAATTAAGTATGTAAGTCCAATTCAATACAATTCAATTATAATTAGACCGAATCGGTTCAATCCAACATATAACATGAATTAAATAAAAGTACACCAGAAAGAAACTAAAATTAGCTATCACCCTAATCCGAAATTCAATCAAATTTGAATTGAATTTTGCACATGCCTAAAAAAATGAAATGTGTAATTCCATTTTATCATTAATTGACGAGGGTATTCTAGTAAAACACACACACCTGCCAGGTGCCAATGCAATGATAAACAAACCAAAGTTTCTGGAAGCAAAACACACTTCTTCCCCCGCAGCTTACTCACACCAACCAACGGCCAACGCCATAGCCCATGACCCAACCCCGCGAACCCGACGCCGACCCGACCCAAAAGAAGCCCGCCGGAGCCACTGCAATGAGACTGATAGTGCCACTCCAAGGCAGAGGTGGCCTTATCGCAAGGAGGGTCGTCTTTTTATATGTTTATATATATATATAGAGTATAGCCGACCGGATATACTCGGTTTTTTTATAAATATAAATATTATAGCCGTTCGGCTATACTCGGTTTTTAAATTTTTTTTTAAAATCGTATAGCCGTTCGGCTATACTTATTTTGACACGTGGCACCTAAGAGTAAGGTTATAGTATAGCCGTTCGGCTATACTTGATTTTTTAGCCGAACGGCTATATCTATTTTGACACGTGGGAATCGCAAGGAGGGTCTGTATAGTATAGCCGCGCTGCTATACTATTTTGAAACGTGACGCCTAATTGCAAGGATGGTCTTTTTATATATATATATATATATATATATATGTGTGTGTGCGTGTGTGTGTGTGTATATATAATATTTAAATAGTGAAGAAAACCAAACCAAACAAACCAATTACAAACCAAACAAATTTGTGAAGAAAACGAATGATGCCGGGTGATGCGAAGCAAATATTCATCAATTACATCTTCTATGTAATAAGCTGCTTCCCTTACTTGTTTGACCCAAGTTCTGATACTGTAACCATCTGCCCTTGCATAACTGCTTTGGCATCTGCATCCTTGAGGAATGATCGGATTCTCTCGAGCTCATCCTTGATGAAGCCAACTTCAGTGCATACATCTCTTGAAAGTTTTGCTTCTGTGGTAATGATCAGTGAGATTAACTTATCGATCACAAAGCATACAATTTCTTCTGCCATCTTTTGCTGTGTACATGCACACACTATACGTAATTGTGGTCTAAATATGCTTGTGTTGATCTTTTGCTTGGAGCCTGGAAAAAACCGTTGTTAAGGAGAGTCTTAATAGATGAACAGTTTGTAATTTTTTCTTCGCATGCTTTTTGGTTGAGTTTGCAGAAGAATTTCTGATTGGTGCTGTCTTATATTGAACCAAGGAAATTTTGACCTTCTCTTTTTCGGGGGCATAAGACTTTCACAACAACTGGCAAGTTGCTATTTTGTAATCATATGTAACCAGTAGGACCAGCCAATCATTTTCATAAACTAGAATTGACTTGTTGCATTGCTTAATTTCCTTGAAAAGGCCAATGGGTTTCCTCTGGTTTTCCATGAAGACCCGCCCAAATCTCCTTTGAAAACTGACAAACAACCACCCCCTGATCAGTGATAGGCTTGCCATGAAGCCTTTCATCCGAAAATTCTTACATACAACCGATAAGGAGCACAATGCTTGTTTCTGTGGTGAAGATGCTCAGGATATAATTTGACTTAGTTGAGTGAAACTGGTGATGAGCAAAACACAAGCCAACAAAAACGCTATTCGTCACCATACTTAAAAAGTGACAATAAAAGTTAATAATAATAAAGGATAACAGAGACAATGTAAACAAAGACATGAATGATTGTATTTGAGCCTTATGAGGTGTGGGATATTCTGGGATTAGGTTGTATTTTCACAAGCTGGAATCACGCAGAACATCTTGTATATACTCAACAACCCAATAATGTTGGCCATTATTTGGATCCATATGTCTTGGGAATTCTTTTGGCATGTCAACAAATCTAAGAGTTGTTAGATTTCTCAGATGGTGGATGCCAGAGGGCACCTCCTTCAGTTGTGGGGAAGGCCCTATTTGTAGCTCTTGGAGAAGAGGCATAACCCCATTGTCTATAATCAATGAACTTAAACCTTCAAGTCCTTGAGTTTTAACACCCTGAGTTTTTCAAAGCCTCCCTCAAAATGCAGCTGCACACCATCATATGCCTTGTATGAGAACCCAAGCTCCAACAAATGAGGAAGGTTTTGAAGGGCTTTCAATGGGGAATCTCTCAGCCTTGACCAAAAAATCTGTAGCTTGACGACGTGCTGAAGCTGTGAAATCCAGCTTGGCAACTTCTCCGGATGCCCTTTCAAGTAGAGAAGCCGGATAAATTGGGGTGGAGTTGAAATGGATTGTAGATCAAGGATCTCATCTTCACTTATTGTACTTACTTCTAGAGATTCAGGGTGGTTCATGTTTTCCACAGAAGCACATAGAGCCCTTCCATCTTCACTTTTCAAGTTTTGTAGGCCCAACTTCCTCAGCTGCCTTAACTTTCCCAATGCTTTGATTAGGTTAATCCCTCCATGATTTGCCTCCACATGGTATAGCTTTTGCAATGCTTGTAAGCATCCAATACCGTCATGTATCTTCACTCCTCGTTCGTAATAAGTCATGCTAAAGTCTCTGCTCTTATCACAATAGTAGGCCAAAAGACATTTCAACTTAAGAAGCTTATTGATCTTGGCAGGTATTTCATACACTAGACACTGTTTTAGATCCAGGGTCTCTAAGTTTTGCAAATTTCCTACGGAATCTGGGAGCAACTTCACCTTTGTATTCCTCAGGCTTAAGTACTTCAAAAGATACAAATCTCCCATGTATTTCAGAAGTTGATATTTTGGAGCATCTGCAAAATCCAATACTTTCAGAAGTTTAAAGTTTCCATTCAATGTTTTCAGAAAAGACTTGGGCCATTCTTCTTGGTTGAAAGTAAGTACCGAACGAATATGTGATTGTTCAATGCTTCTCAAGGCATCAGAGGGACTGCTGTCTATGGAGAAACGTCGAGTTGCTGGTGTGAAATTTGACTCATGTTCCGATAACATGTGACAGAAACTCGACTCCATGCCCTTTCTAAGGAGGACTTCGCGCAACAGATCATGAACTCGACAACTTCTAGCTTTTCCATCAATGTAAACTCTTGACACTTGAACCAAGCTTCTGTGGATTAGCTCAGTCAGGTATTCCTCTCCAACCTCTTCTAATGTTTTTCCTTTCTTCGATTTTACGAATCCTTCAGCTATCCACAACCGAATTAATCTAATGCAACTAATTGAACAATCCTACTAATTAATCTTCTGATCACTACTAGGATCCAAGATGTTGCAAAAGTCAGCAACATCTTGGATCCTAGTAGTGATCATTATTCTTCCAGCTTTATCATCTGGTAAAGCATGTTCTAGAGCTCCCCAAAAATCTACTTTCCATATGTCATCAAAAACAACCACATACCCCTTTTGCTGCAATCGGGTTTTTATTTATTTATTTATATAAATAGTATAGTCGGGCGGCTATACTCAGTTTTTTCTTATTGTTTTTAAAAAATTTATTTTGACATGTGGCGCCTAATTGCAAGGAAGGTCATCTTTTATATATATATATATATATAAATAGTATAGCCGGTCGGCTAGACTCGGTTGTTTCTGATTTTTAAAAAAGGATATACCCGACCGGCTAGACTCTGTTTTATAGCCGCCTGGCTATACTCTGTTTTATTAATGTTTCTTACAAAGTTGTATAGCAGCACGGCTATACTTATTTTGACGCGTGTACTTCTAATCGGAAATCTGGCCCCTTTTAAATATATAAATAGTATAGCCGCCCGGCTATACTCAGTTTTTTATTTGTTTTTTTATAGCCGAACGGCTATACTCTGTTTTAATTAATGTTACGAAATAGGATAGCCGCGCGGCTATACTCGAGTTACAAAATGCATACTCTTCATATATATACTATCCTGTTTTTCTTTTAAGTTTTTTTTTCCCCAATTTTCGTTTAACGATAAGAGTAGTTTAGAGCATTATCCATTACTATTATGCCATTCTTCTTGGTTGTAAGTAAGTACCGAACGAATAAGTAATTGTTCAATGCTTCTCAAGGCATCAGAGGGACTGCTGTCTATGGAGAGACGTGGAGTTACTGATGTGAAATTTGACTCATGTTCAGATAACATGTGACAGAAACTCGACTCCATGCCCTTTCTAAGGAGGATTTCACGCAACAGATCATGAACTCGACAGCTTCTAGCTTTCCCATCAGTGTAAACTCTTGACACTTGAACCAAGCTTCTGTGGATTAGCTCAGTCAGGTATTCCTCTCCAACCTCTTCTAATGTTTTTCCCTTCTTCGATTTTACTGATCCTTCAGCCATCCACAACCGAATTGATCTTATACAACTATAAGACACAGGATTTGAGGTAATATGGTAGATGATGATAGCTAAGGGATAGGATTCTCATGAGGCTTGTAAGATGTGGATTGCTTTCTAACTCTGAACTCATGCTATTATATAGTTTTTGCCATTCAGACATACGCAAAGAAGCTGCCTCCCTTACTTGTCTAACCCAAGTTTTGATACTGTCATCCATCTCTCCTTCTACTGCGGCCTTAGCATCTGCATCCTTGAGGAATGACTGGATGCTCTCGAGCTCATCTCTTATGCAACCAACTTCTTTGCGTACGTCTCTAGAAAGTTTTGCTTCTGTGCTGATGAGTAGTGAAACTAGTTTCTCGATCACAAAGCATGCAACTGACTCTGCCATATCTTATTGGGCAGTATCAAATCATGCCAAAACCCAACGGCAACTGAATTTGCTCTGTAACCACACATGCACAAACTATCTGTACTATTTGTGCTCTATATAGGCTTATATGAACAGTTTACAGTGTTCTCTTTGCATATTTTTTGCTAGGTTGCAGACGACTTTCTGGCTTGCACCAGCTATCTTTAAGTCTTAACACAATAAAATTTCGACCTTGTCTTTTGGCTTTGTTGAAATAATAGCATAATGTTCAATTTGACAATGAACATGCTTACTGAAAGTGGTGTGATAAGGCTGCGTTTTGGCTCATCCATTCCATTGACTAATTAATTCATGAGACTTGTTGTCAACGAATAAGACCAGCCAACCATTTTCACCAACTAGGATAAGACTTAGCCTTAAGAAAGCCAACAGTTTGCCTCTGGTTTTCCATGAACACCTACCCAACTCTCCTTCCTTCCAAAACAAACAAACAAACTACCACCATTTTTATGTGGTAGGCTGCCACGAACACCAATTGAAAAATTATTCCACCCCCTTCAATAATTAATCACATAATAACCATGTAGGACATTGTATATATGAATACAGTTTAATGAAATTAAATGTTCTGTAGTAACATAAAATTACATCTCTACTAAAAAAATTAGGGTGTGCATCGATTCCAATCCAACATATTTTGAAGGATCTGCATTCAATTCAATTATAATTCATAACCTAATTCGATTCAATCCAATTCAATTATAACTAGACCGAATCGGTTCAATGCAACATATAACATGAATTAAATAAAAATACACCAAAAAGAAACTAAAATTAGCTATCATCCTAATCTGAAATTCAATCAAATTTGAATTGAATTTTGCACTTGCCTAAAAAAATGGAATGCGTAATTCCTTTATATCATTAATTGACGAGGGTATTCTAGTAAAACTTACACACCCGCCAGGTGCCAATGCAATGATAAACGAACCAAAGTTTCTGGAAGCAAAACACACTTCTTCCCCCGCAGCTTACTCCCTCCAAGTAACCAAACCACAACAACCAACGGCCAACGCCATAGCCCATGACCCAACCCCGCGAACCCGACACCGATCCGACCCAAAAGAAGCCCGCCGGAGCCACCGCAATGAGACTGATAGTGCCACTCCAAGGCGTCGTCCAAGGCAGAGGTGGCCTTATCCTCGGCTCTCTTATCCCCTGTGCTCTCTTCTACTTCCTCCAGCTCTACCTAAAACGACACCGTCCCTCCAAACCCCCATCCAGCCCTCCTTCCCCATCCCACTCCTCCTCGAACATCGCCGAGCTCCAGAGAACCTCGTCGCGGTCCAACTTGTCCAACCGTGGATCCATGGGGCGGGTACGGGTATCCTCCCGGGCGAGTTGGATTGCGAAGCCAAACGACTCCCCGTATTATATAGGGTTGGATAGGGTTTTGGAGGACCCGTACGATAGGGTGGACAATCCGAATGGGGTTATTCAGCTCGGGTTGTCCGAAAACAGGGTGAGAGTTTTGGTTGCTTGTGTGTTTTGGTTGTCATACTAATTTATGCTTTCAGAATGGAGTTTTATGTAAATTTTGTTTCTTTTTTGTTTTTTTTTGTTTCTGTATGTGTGTGTGGTTGTAGCTGTGTTTGGATTTGATTGAGAAATGGATTACGGAGAATTTGACGCAATCAATTTTCGGAGAAGACGGTGGTGATTTGAACATAAGTGGGATTGCGGCGTACCAGCCGTTCGATGGAATGACTGAGCTCAAAGTGGTATGGCTTTTTCTAATCTCTATAACATTTTTGGATGATTTAGTCAAATTTTATGATAAACCATAATACGCTATATTCTCTCTTTCGATTTAAGTTCAGTTGGTTAATTTACAATCTGTGTTGCAATTGTAATTGTGTCTTGTATTTCTGAAGAATTGCAGTGTTTCTAATGTTTGTTTTTCTTTTTGTTTTGTTTCGGCTTTGCAGGCTATGGCAAGTTTCATGTCTCAGGTTATGCGAAAATCAGTGTCATTTGACCCATCAAAAATAGTGCTAACATCTGGTGCAACCCCTGCAGTTGAGATATTAAGCTTCTGCTTAGCAGACCATGGAAATGCATTTCTCGTTCCTACACCTTATTATCCTGGGTAATATTTGTCATTCTCATGTTGAAACTTTATATTGCTAGAACTAATTGTTCTAATTAATGGAGAAAAATCAATTTTACTTTCATAATCATGTTAACAAATCTTCTGTGGTAGTTAATTAGAAAAACAATCTGCAGTTTTGACAGGGATATAAGATGGCGGGCAGGAGTGGAGCTGATTCCCGTTCACTGTCGCAGCACTGACAACTTCGCTTTAAATATAACTGTTCTTGAACAAGCATACAATCAGGCTAGAAAACGAGGAGTAAAAGTGCAGGGAGTTCTCATTTCTAACCCTTCGAATCCTGTTGGTAATTTACTTTCACGGGAAACACTGTGCAGTCTTTTAGACTTTGCCCAAGAGAAGAACATCCATATCATTTCTGATGAAATATTTGCTGGGTCTATGTATGGAAGTGAGGAGTTTGTAAGCATGGCAGAAATTATTGACACCGAAGATTTTGACAAGAACAGGGTTCACATAATATATGGGCTATCAAAAGACCTATCTATTCCAGGGTTTAGGATTGGGGTTTTATATTCATATAATGAGAGTGTTTTGACTGCTGCTAAAAGGTTAACAAGATTTTCTCCCATTTCTTCTCTGACCCAGCGGCTTATTATTTCGATGCTCTCGGATGCAAGATTCATTCAGGAATACCTAGAGATCAACAAAAGGAGGATACAAAGTATATATGAATTATTTGTGGCTGGTTTGCAACAATTAGGAATCAAGTGTGCAAAGAGCAGCGCTGGCTTATACTGTTGGGCTGATATGAGTGGATTAATTCGCTCTTATGGTGAGAAAGGGGAACTCGAGTTATGGGATAAGCTGTTGAACATTGCCAAGATCAATGTGACTCCTGGGTCAGCCTGCCACTGCATAGAACCAGGATGGTTCAGATGTTGTTTTACTACTTTGACTCCAGAGGATGTTCCTGTAGTTATAGACCGAATCCGAAAAGTTACTGAAACAATTAAGTCGTCCGGTTAGTTCAAATACTACAAAATTTTGTGGCATTATAGCTTTTTGGGTGCGTAAGGCTTTGCTCTATAAGAAGAAGTTGTTATAGCACTCGAGAAGAGGGGTATGCTGTGGATAATCACAGATTAGATATTGAAGTTAAACATACATTCAAGTGTAGCTCTCTTGAGGTATTTGCATAATATGATATTTGGTACATTTTGGACTATAGTTGTTGTGCTCAAACCCGAAGTGAAAACTAAAATCGTCTGGAGGACAGACTAGATGGAGAGGACTGAATGCAAGTTGAGTTTCAACATTAAGCAACAATTTTTCTTCAGACCAGTTTAAGTGTTGGCAAGTTCTTCCTCTTGCTGTACAATCCTTCTATCATCTTGATGCCAGTTCCAAAGATGCAGCATCCAAAAGCTCTATTCTCCACGAGTTCCTGTCATTCATGCATTCAGGCAAGAGTAACAGTTGTTTATGAAATCTTTGTTCATATATATATATAATATTTCCCTTTCCTGTGTTCAGTCTATATCAAACTAATGTTTGGTAGAATCATTTGTTCTGTAGTAGCTTGGTAACCGAAATATTTTGGGAAACAAAATGAAAGTAGGAGCAAGAATGGAGATTTACCTTTGATAGATTGTGTTTTCTCATTTGAACAGCTTTCCACCTGTAACTACCCTTACGACTCATCATTATCAGCTCTCCGAGTGTTTTTGGCCTCCATACAATGGCACTGCCGTTACTTTCACGATCAAAATGTGCACTCTTTGGTTCTGGTGGAGTAAGAGAGCTGTTGCCTGATTGGCCAATTTTTTCAAGAAATCCGGAATTGGCAGGAATCAATGGAAAGAGGCATTCCAAAAACGAAGCCCCAACAAGGCTTGAAACTCCAGTTGCATTGCTGCTTGTACTGCTGCCTGCTTCTGAGGCCGGTGAGGAAGGTGTCTCAGGCCAAGCACTCTTATCTTCTGTTGGTGTGCTTTTGTCTGCTGGAACAGCAGTGGAAATTGCCATTGATGGAACAAGACAGTTTGCTAGGAGAGCAGGAGCTGAGATAAATGAATCATCTGTTTCGAAATCGAATGCTTCAAGCTCCAAATTAAACGTACTTGGTGCTCCATCTTCTCCATCACCATTTCCACTAATATCATCACCATAATCTTCGTTCTCACCATCATAATCGTACTGGTGGGAGCTAATTGGAGGTGATGGAAAAGTGATAAGCTGCAGTGGTAGGGAGGAGGGACATGCTGATCCCAATGTTGGTTCTGAGAAAGAAGGTAGTGGTGTTCCTGGCTTTTCTTCCCATTTGAATGGAACCGAGGCAACAAGCTTGACGATGGGGGTTGCCGGAAATGAACTATTTGAAGAAACCACTGGTGGTTTCCAGTCTTTTTTTGGTATTCCCGGCCTTTCTTCCCATAGAAATGGAACTGCCGGCGGTTCCCTTGGATGCTTCTTGTTGGAGTTTGCCGCCATCAATTTCTTGTCCACCATTTCGGCGGTTGCACCGTGTCTTTATATTGAGGTTTGATGGATACGTTGGTGGGTTAGAAACTTGCAACTAACAGTTTCATAACAGTTTCATTCTAACTGTACCATCTTCTAATAGATTAGGCGCACCTGCTCCCTTCCCTCCCTCTCCATTTTCATGCCCTCGTGGATTAGTTCAGTAACTCCGGTCATGTCTTGTAATTATTTTCCTTTTGATTTTATTTGAGACAAACAAACTTGTTCTAATTAATTGGATGGGATGATTGAAAATACTAAAATCTGATTTTAGCACTGGTAAAAAATGAATTAGTACTTAATACTGAAAACATATTGGACCTGACGTTAATGGGCTTTTAAATAACAATTGGGCCTGAAGTTAATGGGCATTTAGATAACAAGTGGCCTATAGCCTTGAGGCCACGTCCCTCAGTAGCCCATCATGTTTGTTATTTATACAAATCTGTTTTCTTTTTAATCATTGTAATAATTTTTTTAAATACTAAAATACTCACTTAACGCCAATAAATTATCCTCATAGGCTTGTCAACGACGAATCTATAATATATTTTATTATGTGGGGCCTTGCATTATGAATTTCACTATATATTCCATTATAAGCAAGATGCCATTAGCTTATTACAAGCGAGCACCAGTAGTTAACGGCCACTAAATTTTTTTTTAATTTAAAAAAAAACAATAATTTGAGTGCTGGAGGATCAAAGAAGACTTTATCTTTTAAATTCCCTCACATTTGAATTTGCGTGTTTGGTTTTTAGTTGTATACTGTCTAAGGCCCGGCCGAAAGGCAAAGATAAAGTATTTGACTCACATAGCACATGCATATTGTTGTCCATTAGATTTAGATGATTCACATGATTCAATTGCTTGCATCAATTCAAATTAATGGTTGTTGCCGGGCCCCAATGCCAATATATATAAGAGTAAAAAGGCTAGATTATTCTGTAATCGAAGATTAAAAAGGCTAGATTATTAATTCATGAGTTTAAGTGGAGGTTTTTTTTTATAATAAACTCTGTAGTCCCAATCCCAAGTGTCTCATTAGCATTCATTTGAATAAATTTGATTTGAATTTAAGTAGAAAAACGTAGTCTTGGCCAATAGTGATGATAAAATAGTGTTACAAGATTCCCTGTGTGCTAATTAATTAAAAGAGAAAGTACCCAATCAACTCAACATCTAAAACCATTTCGAGATTTGGAGTATTTGCATATTTGCTCTCAATCAAAGTTTCTGAGTTCGAATCATAGTATTTATGTTGTGTGTGAAGTTTCTGAGTTCGAGTCCTAGTATTCGTGTTGTGTGTGAGTTTAGTATAGTATCGTCATTCTCAATAAGAAATATCTTCAAAAAAGAAAAGAAAAAAACGTATTTCGAGATTTTTATTATTATATTGGTACAAAGTATGTTTTCACATTATAATATATGACGCATGAACTATAATCAGAATATATATAACTCAAAAGTCCCTGCAAAAGTTTTGGACAAATTTCTTCGAGAAACAAATCATTTACATGTATCTATTTATTTCACATATACAAACGAGGGTTGGATACAAAACAAACCCCGAAGATCTAAAACTCTCAGCTCAATTCAAAATCAACCATGATGAAAACTTTCAGAAACCAAAATTGAAATCCAAAATAGAAACTACACGTAAAACCCAAAAAAGAAAAAAGAGTATGCTGGTGTACTTTCTGCTTAATAATTTGCTAGCTAGCTCGAACTCTGCGAATTGAGCAACCCATTAATGGAATTGTTGCATTCAAACAGGGCCTTAGCGGTCATCTCCCTCTCAAACCTGCAAATATAATTCAATCCCACGAGCAGCTCAGTTATGGCAGCTTCAGTCTTGTCCTTGTTTGCAAAAAACAGAGTTTGAAGAAGCATGACGTTTGTTTTAGGCACCAAGTTTTGTTGCTCAAAGCTCCTCTCACTTTGCCACTTTATCATATTATGTGCCAATGGAGACAACCACCCCAAGATTCTCCCCAGAGCCTCCCTCCATTCTGCGGCCAGCACCGGATCACTCGCCGAAAACCCAACCCCTCTCAATCGAGCCCTCAACGACGATCGGATACTACTCGGTAGCATCGAATACAAATCGTCCCTCGCATCCACACCAACCATTTGTGGAAACTTGATCATCTTCTCCATCACTATGATCAAGTTGGCGTAGTGAAGCGCCAAAGCCGCCGCGCCTAAAGTACTTGGTGGAGGCTTTAGGAGCTTCGAGTTGGACTCGAAAAACCCAATATTTTCCAAATCTTTGAGATTGTCAATAACATTCTCTTGTTGATGATGAGATTTTGCGGGCTTCAATGGCCCGGACACGAAACGACACGTCGTCTGATCAGATGGGTAGACGGTAGCGGAAGCTGAAAGACTGCGAGGCAAAGATGAAGGCGGGCATTGTCCTATGCCGAAAACAAGCTTTGTCCTCGCAAGAACAGCGAAAATGGACCTCGCAAGAACCCAAGTGACCGTATCGAAGCTTCGGCTCCACAAAGATCTGTCCTTTAAATACTTCACCTCTTGCCTCTGCCACACGATCTTCTGCTGGAGATCGACGATCTTCTGCTCTTTGCTGCTCATCGAAGACGACGATTGATTGGTCTCGCACTCATTGTATTTCCAAGCTTTGCTCAGCCCGCTTTCGAGCACAGAAAGCTCGTCCATCTCTCTGTACAGAGTGGACGTCACGGTGACGTACCTCTCGAGTTTCTTGACGTTTTTAGTATCCATTTCCTTAAACCCGATTACCCAATTGTACGGATCGCGACCCGAGTCGGCGAAGTCGAGGAAGAGGCGGTGGAAGGCTCGAAGGTTGGGGTCCTGGCATTTGGTGCTTAGGCTGGAGATGGCGGTGGCGAGGAGGCGGAGATTCTCGACGAGCTCGGCGCAGGCGAGGGAGAGGAGGAAAGCGTCGTCGTTCGAGACAATTTTGCGAACACCTTCGAGGGAGATGGAGTCGTTGTGGAGGCGGATCATGTTCTTGTCGGAGAGGGCCTGCCAGAGGTGGATGAGCTTGGACATGAGGCCGGCGATCTCGAAGGCCAAAACGCCGACGTTTGATTTGCGTATGGGTTTGTTTGGGTGCGGGTGGGTTGAGGTCCGCACAGCGTCGAAGCTGTGGGATATGGCTGTCTTTACCTTGAGTAGCAAAGTCTCAAGTGCCATGTGAATTAAACAAAATGTTCAAATTCAAAGAAGAAGAGGAAGAAGGTATAATTGAAACGTGGGAGTTGCAGAGAGAGAGAGAGAGAGAGAGAGAGAGAGAGAGAGAGAGAGAGAGAGAGAGGACAAGGATAATGGGAATAATGGCGGAAGAAGAAGAAGTAGAAGTGCAGCTGAGCAGCTAAGCTTTGTAAATGTAAATTAAGCTCGTGGGGGTGTTGTGGGCGTTACATATAGCTCTAATAATAAAATTATGAAAATATGATAAATAAATAAATAACCAAAATAAAATGTCATGCCCAAACGCACTGAGAACGCGTGGTTCATTTCGTAGCTAAAGCATTGGGTTGTCTTTTCCGGTCGAAGCCTCAGACGCGCGTTTTTATTAATTAAATTCAGCCTTTTGTTTGTTTTTTTGGTAATATAATTATTTATTTATTTTTGTGATGGCAGTCGGTAAGAGAAAATGTTTATGGGGGGTGTTTGGATGCGGAAAATACTTTTTTCTTAGATGCTGTTTGTTTTTGTAAACTGGAGGAGGGCCATGCCATTATTGGTTTTTTCCTTTTGATTGTTGCGAGGATTAGAATAGAAACTTTCTCACCAATTGATTTGTGTTGGCGTGTATTATTAATTGATCCAGCAACTTTTAACTCAAGGACGAAAGAAAGATACGTGCCCAACGTTAAAGTTCCAATTTAACAAGGAAAAGAAACAGTTTTAAAAAGGTAATCAGCATCTCCCAAACTCAATGTTGATCCAAAACTCAATGAAGCACGAAACATTGTTCTAACAAGGGAGAAAGAATACTACGATAATATGACCACACCTGGTATATTTTGTACACATAACATTTGCACTCCGAGAACATAGCTTAAAATTGGATTTTCACCCATAACTTGGCCATAAAACCACATTGTTTTTTAGGTGTGATTGATTAGATTGTAGCTAGCTAATAATAGTAGTGATATTTCTAAGTGCACTCCTTAACCCTAAAAAAAGTTATTGTAGTTAGAATTCAGCGAAAGCAGGCCCTTAATTTATAAGTCGATCAAGGGTCAGGGTTGAGGTTGACTTGGAAGAGAGGCACTTGTGGTGGAGGAGATGCTAGCTGCGCCATATATCTAAGCTTATAAGTTATAGGTAGCAAAAAGATAATGCAATTTTTGGGGAGTACAGCAAATGGAGAATATTATGAATTAAAAAAGGGAAAAAAGAAGGCACACTAAGGTTACTCATTCATATCACATGGTTAGCGCGCGGCAAGAGTGGTGTTCTTGGCTTGTTGGGTTGGTGGAGTTGGGGGTTACTTAAAAAAATTCAAAGAATTGGGGGAGGAGAGAGAGAGAGGGTTTTGCAATATTACATGATGTTCAAAGGATGTTTCTTTTTTACTTTGGCTGAGCTTTTGCCTACCAATGGAACGGCAGAGACGATTTCCTTTGTTTACTTGTCGGAAAATGAACAGGCAAAACTATCACCCCTTCCTACATCTCCATGTCTCGAATAAAGTGCCTCTCTCTCTCTCTCTCTCTCTCTCTCTCTCTCTAAACACATACATACAACAAGTGCATGTTGTTCTATTATAATCTCCATCCTGTCACAGATCAAAAAGGGGCATTGCCAACTGCCAAGTTGTGTGCTATTTCATTCTGCATTTTTTTTTCTTCTTTTTTTCTCATAGGGGTATTGGGTAGAAGGGTTGACAATATCCATACATATAAATTTCATAGTTTATATATAGAATGGAATGGTGAAGAGCTATCCATTCTTATTGTATGCACTGCGGGGGTTTTAAGATGATATGAAATTGAGGGAACCATTATATATATATATATATATATGCACCATTTGTTAAAGGCAAACACCTTTTTTCTTGTCTTTTTGTCTGTTTCGTTGCTAAAATCCAGAGGCAACGGGATTTGCAGTGATGAATAAGATCAGAAAAACTCAGCAATACGCACTGCTTGTTTTGTTTTGATGGAAAGCTAGCTTTTCAAGAATTGTTGGAAAAGGAAGCCCCCCAAAGTACTAGCTCCCAGCCCAGCATATTCTTGGTCATGCATGGCAGGACCAACACTTGGCAACATGTGAATGGCTAATTTGTTGAAAACTAGATCCAGTCAACAAGCAGATTAAACAGCTCCATCGTAACCCTAAATCTGATAGTGTTCTTAAGTTAAAATGATTACAATTAATTGGTCAAACAATTAAGCAGTGATCCAAGTTGCAAATATCCAAGATTGCGATTGATCAGATATAATAATACAATAAATTAAGAAGAAGGTTTTTGACATGCAGCAGATGTCGTTTTGTTATGAATTCAATGAACCAATCTGAAAAACTCAAAGAAGATCATAGATTCTATCTATCTGCTGCCGACTAAGCTGAAAAAGATGGGAACATGCAAATACGTACAATCTATAGTAACATGCATGCACTTGATGCTGTCTAGTCAAATGCGTCGAGGAAGTTTGTTTGAAATTGATGTTCGATTATCGGCTTTATTTCTAACATAATTGAAATTAAAGTAACAAACAACTATACATGTAGATTTGAAGTCTTTAATCCGAAACAGGCAGCACTACATCTGCATGGGAGACAACTTAATATTGAAATCTATATAATATAATACAAGATGATTAACAGTTTAGGGTTGCAGGGGTCCAATTAGTTTCGTTATGCTAGCTATAGCCTATAGCAAGTACACTAGTTATTATATGAGAGAGAGAGAGAGAGAGAGAGAGAGAGAATATTAAAATATTTGATGATAATCAAGTGTGTTGCATCATGCGGAGTTTTAATCTGATTTCCAAGGCCCCCAAAGGGGAGTGTGGCTAGAGATAGCATGCTGGCTTTGCTTTGCACGCTGCCACGCAAACCACCCAAACATCATTCAAGAAAGAAATCATGAACATCATGGATATACGGTCAGAGCAGCTTATAAGTCTAAGTGGGTGCATTTTAATTAATTTACATATAATGGGTTTTGATGCCATCATCCATCTAATTCTAAGTGGTGGGTGATGATATATACCACCAAAGGCTAACATACATAGTTTCTTCCACTTGTCAAGTATAAAGGTCCTTCCAGTTGAAGGGCGCATGATGGAAGCATCTAAGCCACACTTGTCTGAGTCAAAGTGAGATATAATTTCTAACTTAGCATGATTGGTTTGACTTATATTACACGCATGTAAATATACATATGTTTGTATGTGATTGGATTTGAATGAATATTTAGTGCAAGTCTCATTCTATCTAAAACTCGATCGGAATAATGATATGCAATCCATTTTTTACTTTAATTGGGTAATTTCGGATAAGGGTTTTTTTGGCTTGCAAAAAGTTAGAGAGTTGAGGGTTAGATTTCTTGAGCTCCAAACGACATTATATTGTGGTTTAGCCCCAAAACGAGGGCAGGAAAGGTGAGATATGCTAATGAACCTAACGACAACGTAAAACCATTGTTTCATTTTCCTCTCAATGCCATGACCCGTGCTGTTTTGAATGTCCCCCGTGGTTCAAAAACAACACCTCTCCGTTGCTGTTTTGTTCACCGTCATCAATGGGGGGGGACCTGTCGTTTTGACAGTGAAGGAGAGTAAAAGAGACCAGGCCAAAATAATTAAAAAGGTAAAGATAAAAGGGGAAATCAAAAGCTAATTTGGGTTTTGTCTTTGTGGCAAGAAGCAGTGAATGAGGATAGGGTGGCCAAGTTTTGATTTGGGAAGAGACCAAGAGTAGCGCACCATGGCTTTTGGACTTTGGAATTGGACCCCATGTACATGAAGAGAGCAGAAATTCAAAGTCCTCTTTGAAAAAGAAAGAATGAAAGCCAAAACCTCACCTCACCTCTCACCTTTGGTCATTGTCAAAGCACACAAACACAAGACGTACACACTTATAATGTTGAGAGAGAGAGAGAGAGAGAGCTCAATTGATGATATTCATATTTGATAGGGACCTCAAAACATTAGTCATTAGTGTGCATTGGTAAGATTCCACCACCTCTAGAAAAATTAAGTGACAAAAAATTGAAGAAATTGAATTAAAAAATTAAGTTTAAACATACAGAAAGAGATAAGAAAAGTGGTGGATGTATTGCGCATGAGAGGGGACACTCTATGGCCTCTCTCATTCATCGCAGTCTAAGGGCTTGTGTTGTGCTTTAGCTTGACATTCTTTGAAGCCAATGGTCCCATGCATGCATAAACACCACATGCACTTTAGACTTTAGAAACCTCCGTCCCTCCCTCACACTTAATTAGATGCTCTTCTCTCTCTCTCTCTCTCTCTCTCTCTCTCTTGTTTGTTTTTCATTCATTCCCTTTGCCCAAAGAGATGGATAGAATTATGTGCACGTGAGTCATCATTCTAAATTTCTAATGTACATGAATGAATGCATCATGGAGAGGGAGGGAGAGAGAGAGTGTGTGTGTGTGTGTGTTGTTGGACACCCCACTTCATTATTTTGGTCATTTTGTGTCTCCATTTGGCATTGTGTCAAAGTAAAAAAGTAAAAATCATTAACTCGTATTTGCCTTTTTCTTTACCTCGTGCAATTACCCTTTTCATATTCCTTTATTAGCCCTACTCTTTTCTTTTCCTTTGTGGGGGAAGGAGGTTTGTTTTTAACCAAACAGTCACGAATTCTTAAGTTTGTAAATTGTAATTAACATTCCTGCATGAAGTACTTTAGTTGGAGTTTGGAAAAGTATTATTAACACATCGGAATCGTACGAGTTTATGCACTAGGGGCTGGACTGGACAAGACTGCTCGAAATAAACCAGTAAAGATACGTTTCACCGCATTTAAATGCAGATTTATTCTTTAAAGGGTTAAATACCTTTTTGGTCATTGGATTTTATATGAAATTTCAATTCGGTCACTGAGAAAATTTTTTTAGCTAAATTAGTCATTGTATTCCCCCAAATTTACAATTTATAGACATTTCATTAGTTTCCATTAAGTTGTTAGGTTAAATACCCTTTTAGTTACT